GTAGGGACAGTGTTCTTTTCTTGGAAAGCACATCAGCTCCATGTTCACAGACACAAAAATGAAGCACACCAAGAGCTCCAGTTTTGCCTCCTCTGTCCAAAGAACATTCTCCCAGAAGCTTTATGGCTTGTCAGTATGCACTGTGGCAAATTCCAATCTCACTTTATGATTTGCTCTCAGCAGTGGTGTCCTCATATGAAATCCACTTTGGCTCAAACACTGACTGATGGTGCAATCTGACACTGATGTACCTCACCCTTCAAGTTCACATTTAATTTGTTTGAAGGTTATTCTGGGTTCTTTTGTTACCAGTCGCATGATCCATCTCTTTAATTTGTCATCAATTTTCCTCTTGCAGCCATGTCCAGGGAGGTTGGCTACAGTCCTGTGAACCTTAAACTTCTGAAGAACATGTGTAACTGTAATCACAGGAACATAAAGCTGCTTGGAGATGGTCTTATTGTCTTTATCTTTAACCTGCTTCTCTATCATTTTCTTTCCAGTCTGACAGTTCTCTTCTTCACTTTCTCTGATCAATGTTCAGTGTTGTCTCCATCATGTCTCCAAATAGCACAATGACAACATGTCCCCCTTTAAACAGACAGACTGAGGACAAGTTTGAAGACACCTGTGATGTAGATTAGAGAACACACCTAAGTTTAACATGTCCCTGTTGTTCAGTTACTTATAATCCTTTCTAGGGGTACCATCATTTTTGTCCAGGCCAGTTTCATTTGTTTCTTTTTTTTTTAAAAAATAATTCTTTTGAACAACAATTCAAAAGCAGTGTCTGATTTTCACTGGCTAGTTTTCAGGATTTTTTAAAAATGTATTATTGCTTTTCTTAGTTTCAAGTAATTAAAAGTAAAAACAGGACGAAACAAGGTCTAAACCCAGGTCTAAACCCAGGTCTAAACCCAGGTCTAAACCAGGATTTAATCGCCTCCACCTGTGCGCCGCGCACTGCGCCTCTGCTCGTGCTCCTCCCATGCACTGCGTGTACTGTGCCTCTTTCAGCTCCGCACCACACCTCCCTACATAATCTTCCATTAAATGTAGGATACAAGCCTGAGCCTCCGCTCAATTTCATTTCTCTCCTACGGCCCGTGGGTCAAATGCGGCCCTCAGACAAATTTTTCTTGGCTCTCAATCTTCCAGGAGACTTGGCCCAGATTATCTTCAATTAAAAATGAACTTTTTAATGCAAGTTTTTTGAAAATCTACCTTGATAACAGCTAATATTTAACATTTAGTGTGTGATTTTAAGGATCTTATCATGAATAAAGACTAATGGCTCATTCTAACGTGTTAAACATGCATATATTTCAATTATTCACTGTACTGAGCACCAGTGCACGGCCCTCGATTGGCCCTCTGCTTCATCTGTGTTAGATATGTGGCCCTTGATGAAAAAAGTTTGGACACCCCTGCGCTAGACATTTGTAAGTACCTGGAAGTGTGAGTACGGGCACAAGCCAGTCAACGAAGTGCCATACATTCTGTGTTGGCAACGATTACCGAGATCACAGATCAAGTAACAAAGAGAATGTTTGGTGAATTTTATCAAGGGGAAAGACGTTATTGCCCTTCTTCCTACGGGATTTGGGAAAAGCTTAATATTAGGGCTGGCCAAAAATTTTTTTTTTTTTAATCGCGATTAATCGCATGAGTTCGAGCAATTAATCGCATGTTATACACAAAACCAATTAATGAATTAAAAAGTAGAGTATAGCGCTCTTTTATTGGAAATGTAAATGAAAGAGCCAAACATTTGTTGTGCAAACAGCATTTCTTTCACAGGGGAATCGTCAGAGCCTTCAAGGTATTTAGTGACGGCTCAAGAAAAAAATATTGAATGGATGTTTGTACTACTAATATTTCTATTGAATATTTTTTATGCTGTGAGTAATGAACTCTACACTAGTAATAATTTCTAGATCAGTGCTATAAACTTGGACTGATATTTCTTAGGAAACAAAGGGTTAATATAATGGAATGGAAACACATTTTTTCTTCCAATGGTATCTGGGTAGATCAGTTACTCCAGCACTGAACTAAACAAACAAGCTCAGTTCAGAGCCGGTGCCTGTGGCTGAACCCGCGGCTGAGTTCGCGGCCGAAGCTGGAACCCACGACCAGAGCCCGCGGCCGGAGTCGGAGCCCGCAACCGAACTCGCGGCCGGAGCCGCGGCTCGAGGAGGCTCGGGCACGTTGCATCTCACGTGGTCAGAAAAAAGTGAAAAAAGTGTAAAGACATCAAACTTAAAGAAACGCTCGCGGTGGACTTTTTCAAAATAAAAGCCAGTGAGAAACAGACATTTACAATAAAATAAATAAATAATAAAAACTGCATTAACGGAGTTAAAATAATTGTCGGCGTTAATGATTTAATTAGTTAACGCAAAGTTAACGCGTTAACGTGCCCGGCCCTACTTAATATACCAGTTAGCCCTGTTAGCGGCACGTTATATATGTGACGTTACATATGGTTAAATAAAAAAAGTTCCCACCTAGTGTTGGTGGGTTCACCTACAAATTCTAATGCTGCGAGGTCTGACGGTTTCCTTGAAGTGAGAGCGGCTGTTGAATCAGGCTAATTGACACTGCCGTGTCTATAAAACAATAGGTTTGATAGATACGTTTACACTTGTCAATACACATGACGTACCATATTGATTATCATCATTAAAGGGATTTTTGACATAAATCTGTATTGCATCCCTGTGAGCAGTGTCCTGCATCAACACTGACTTACCCCCAACAGCGTCCGGTGAGCAGAGATACTGGCTGTTTTTCGGTGCTGACGAAATTAGTCCGGCAAGTTGGCTGGGGACTGTATAATAAAGCGTTTTTCTTCTCAAAACAATATGTGTTCAAAAGAGTGATACATTTGCATCACAAAACCATCATCGCCTTAAAAGTCAGACCTCATTATCGCTTGGCACCATTTTCTTTCCATTCGTATCACTGCGCACTGCCACCAGGTGACAGCCCCGCACAAATCAATCACTTTCTGCAGTTGTTCGGCAGTGTTTACACGCGCAGACCGCCGCGACGCGAGAGAGCAAACGTGAGACCTACAGAGATAAGTAAATAAGCTTGTATAAGATAAGAATATATCTAAAAAATGGTGCGAACTCTTGATTATCCAGGCTGTAACAACAAAAATCTGGCTGAATCTCCACACACATTTCACCGTTTTCCTGTCATGGACTTTGTGCTGAGGAAACTTTGGCTTCTTGCCTTAGGCTTACATGGAAACCAAACCAGGTAAGAGTGAAGAAGTGCCGCTATGTTTACAAGCAGACAGGCTCAAGAACCAGCTACTAACGCTGTGTGCAGTAAATCACTCAGTGTCATATCACCAGTGAAGCTTCTACAAAACGTAACTTTATAAGTCGACTGTTATTACTATTGTAAATGTCGCGTACGTGGACGTGTGGATGATTCCATGTTTCTATTAGTAGTCCATGCTTCAGTCACAGTGTAGGCTATATGTTCGCTGTATAAGAGTTTATAAATGACGTGACGGTGATTGTCGCTCACTCGGTCTCTCACGGCTCCAGCTTCAATTTGTACCACTTCTGTCTCTTCTCTCTTTGCCCATTCTAACTCCATCTGGCGAAATTCGGCATCAGTATATTCGGGATCACAAAGATCTCCCCTTGGGTTTGTGGTAAAGGCCAAGTCTTTATTGTCGGTGTGGTAATCAGACATGTTGTCGCTAACATTCCGAGCAGTAAACAAAGTGAACCAGGCGCAGCTGTCACCTGGCGGCCGCGCGCAGTGATACGAACGGAAAGAAAATAGTGCCAAGCAATAATGAGGTCTGACTGATTTAGGCGACGATGGTTTTGTGACGCAAATGTATCACTCTTTTGAACACATATTGTTTTGAGAAGAAAAATGCTTTACTATACAGTCCCCAGCCAACTTGCCGGATTACTTTCGTCAGCACCGAAAACGGCCAGTATCTCGGCTCACCAGACGCTGTCGGGGGTAAGTCAGTGTTGATGCACGACACTGCAATACAGATTTATGTCAAAAATCCCGAACTATCCCTTTAATTGAAGGAGTTTAGGATGAATTAATTTAATATGATACAAGCATCAGAGACTTGTGGAAATCTGATACTGCAAAAGACAACAATAGGGTGACAATATTTCCGTTTGTCAAAACCAAGACACCGTACAGGGGGTGGGAGGTGGGGTCTCATCATTGACATTGAGCTACTCTCACCTGGCAAAGCTTTTTAATGTTTTTCAGTGTCCTGGTGAGCTTTGAGGTCCCTGGCACCGCCATTGGACACCAAAACATATGTGCCTGCTTTGCACACTGTGCACATGGCCTACCACTTATCCCGACCGTGATGGAAAGCAGGGAATTTCTTGTACAAGTCATCGTTAAATGCGCATTTGCATGTTGCAGGCTGACCAAATGTTTGTGTTTGCTCACTCCTTCTGACTGTACAGAGACCTACAAGAGCCGCTCAATTTAATGGCCCAATGAAAGGTAATGAAAACCCGTTCATTTGCGTCACTTTTGTGGGTTTATTTTCTTTCATTGATGCTTCACTGTTAATTGAATCATATCAAAATGTTTCTTGTTACGTTTTCTTTTGGTTGCTGCCCCAAATCAAGGTCCAAAGGGGGGCGTATGTGAACCTGGTAGCCTGATCAATATGTATGTGGACTTTCTTGCTAAAATTAGTTAATCAATAAGTTAAGTCAACAAGATGTCATGTACAAGAGCTGTCTACTCTGCTGTCATTCAGAGACGCTGGTGACCAAAATCCTGTAATCATTTGAATTGAGTTCTGTAAGCTGCCTGCGCTAAAATAAAGAGATGGTAGATTTTTTCATCTCCTGAAGTTTTTTTTCTTAAGAGTTACTTGCGTGTCGCGTCTGGGAAAATTGACAATTTGGTGACCACCGACGTGATAACGTCACCCAGACGTGACCTAGATTAGACGCAGCAAAATCAATACACCAGTCTCCCACAAATTTCCTAAAAACCTCATCACAGAGGAACGCGTTCAACAAAGAAGGTATGACAGCGACCTTTTTCTCCAGAACTCGGTCTATTTGGTAGTTAAATGCGCATTTGCATGTTGCAGGCTGACCAAATGTTTGTGTTTGCTCACTCCTTCTGACTGTACAGAGAGCTACAAGAGCCGCTCAATTTAATGGCCCAATGAAAGGTAATGAAAACCCGTTCATTTGCGTCACTTTTGTGGGTTTATTTTCTTTCATTGATGCTTCACTGTTAATTGAATCATATCAAAATGTTTCTTGTTACGTTTTCTTTTGGTTGCTGCCCCAAATCAAGGTCCAAAGGGGGGCGTATGTGAACCTGGTAGCCTGATCAATATGTATGTGGACTTTCTTGCTAAAATTTGCTAATCAATAAGTTAAGTCAACAAGATGTCATGTACAAGAGCTGTCTACTCTGCTGTCATTCAGAGACGCTGGTGACCAAAATCCTGTAATCATTTGAATTGAGTTCTGTAAGCTGCCTGCGCTAAAATAAAGAGATGGTAGATTTTTTCATCTCCTGAAGTTTTTTTTCTTAAGAGTTACTTGCGTGTCGCGTCTGGGAAAATTGACAATTTGGTGACCACCGACGTGATAACGTCACCCAGACGTGACCTAGATTAGACGCAGCAAAATCAATACACCAGTCTCCCACAAATTTCCTAAAAACCTCATCACAGAGGAACGCGTTCAACAAAGGTATGACAGCGACCTTTTTCTCCAGAACTCGGTCTATTTGGTAGTTAAAAACAAAAAGAAAAAGTGATTTTGCTTTTGAGACTTTTATGCTATTTTAATTGTGTTAATTTTAAAAGAACTGTAAAAATTAATAATTGATAAATAATTGAGTGTTAGTAGAATAGGTGGCTTTAACCTATTGACGCCGGATGCTGCGCAGCGCTGAGTCCCCTGTCCGGATTGTCTGGCGATCAGCATAACTGGTAAAGGCGGGGCCACACCTGGAAGCATGGGGGGCGTGTCCTCCTCTCGCTTCCATTCACTCCCATAGAAAGACGCAAAACTGCCAGAGCTGTACTGTCGCGTTAAACCTTCTTTATCGTGGCGTATTATTTCTCCATTGAAAAATAATCCAAATGTATCCCGCACATGTTTCCATCAAGACCTGGTTTGAAGTAACAAACGTTGCTCTTTAATGCCAGCGCATGAACGCGCTCAACCACTTGATCTGTTCGCTGTTCCAGACGCTCCTATAACAGGTGCCATATCGCTATGTCGTGTAACAAATGAACATGGTCAAACACAAATGTTGTCCGTGTCTTCACTGTCATTGTCACTGTCAGCATTTTTGTGTTTGACCATGTTTATTATAAATGTTTAGCTGGCCCCACCACGTCCAGACTTTTTTTTGGTCATCATAATTACAAGGCTACTGCATCTCTATAATGCTATCATTGACAATTTGAAACAAAAAAAATAAAAAATCCTCCATACAACCTTTAATTCCCGTTATTATCAGCAGAGAGCGGCATCAGCATAAATCTTCTCATAAAATTACTGCCAACATCAATAATCTCAGATCCCTTCAAAAAGCATATCTACCACAAATTCCTGTAGTTTCTCAGTCCCCAATAACCTTAAACATGGTCCTTTTAAATGTCCGCTCTGATGAACAAGTCTTTTATTGTAAATGACCTGATTTTAGAACACAAACTTGACTGCTTCTTTTTAACAGAAACATGGCTGGGTACAGATGCACCAGTTCTCACAGAGGCCTCACCACCCACTTTTAACTTTGCTTTTTCAACCAGGAACTGTAAAAGGGGAGGTGGCACTGCTTCTATCTGTACAAACACACTAGCCACCGAACCTATTTTATTGAACAATTTTACAATTTTTGAACACCACTCACTTGTTTTTAGCAACCCTCAGATTTTATGTGTCACAGTGTACAGACCACCAAAGAAATGCAATAGTTTTATCAATGAGTTTTCTGAGTTTTTATCCATTTTACACAATTCTTTTAATATGATTATTATAACCAGTGATTTTAACTTGCACATAGATAATCTTTTAGATCCTGTTGCAAATGAATTTTTAAATGTTCTTAATTATATGGATTTTACTCAACATGTCACACAGCCAACTCACAACAGGACACACTCTGGATCTGGTCATCACCTATGGCCTGACCATTAGTGTGTTCTCTGTTGTTGACTTGGCTGTGTCTGACCACTACTGTGTGTTTTTTAACATCACTGGTTTTATACAACGTGAGACCGCTGCGAGAACTGTGAGGAAGCACCGTCTGACCCCTGAAGTGGCTGCAAATTTTATCGAAGTTTTAGATAAAAATCCCTCAATGGTTTTACCTGCCCCTTGCGATTTCATCACCGACCATTTTAATAGTAAACTATGGTCAGCTCTGGATCTGGTTGCTCCACTCAAAACTAAAAACATAACCAAAATAAAACCTCCATGGAGAACTGAAGAGCTGACAATATTCAAGAGAGAGTGCAGGAGGGCAGAACGGAGATGGAGAAAAAAACAAAACTACAATAAACTACCAATTATTCAGTGATCAACAACGTACATACAACAACACAGTAAGAAACGCAAGAAACCATTACTTTTCCACAATAATCACCAAGCACAAGAATAATCCTAAAGTGCTCTTCTGAACCATTAACAACATTTTAAACCCTGATTTTAGCACATTTTACTTGACACCCACTGACTCTCTCTGAGCAGTTTGCAGACCACTTCATTGGAAAGATAAACACTATCAGATGTGATATTTTATCTTATCAAAGCTCTGTTTTTAGTACATCTGAGTGTTTGTCTGCTCCAAAGGAAACACTGGACAGTTTTGTCCTGGTTAATGCTGGGATGCTTGACAAAGTTTTCTCCTCAGTGAGGCCCACCACATGTCTTTTAGATCCAATTCCCACCGCATTTTTAAGTCATTTTATGGATCTTTTAGGGATGAGCTTTTAACCATGATGAATTGCTCTCTTCAGACGGGGGTCTTTCCCTCTGCCTTCAAAGCAGCAGTGGTGAGGCCCCTGCTGAAGAAGAACAATTTAGATTTTAATGATTTTAACAAACTACCGACCAGTGTCTAACCTACCATTTTTAAGCAAAATTTTAGAAAAACTTGTTTTTATCCAACTAAATAATTTCTTAGACAATGACAACATCTTGGAAAAATTTCAGTCTGGTTTTAGGGTGAACCACAGCACCGAGACCGCCCTTGGCAAAGATTTTAAATGATTTTAGAATAAATTATGATTCACAAAAGGTAACCGTGTTGGTTTTACTGGATCTGAGCGCTGCCTTTGACACAGTAGACCACACTATTCTTTTAACTCGCCTAAAAGACCTCGGCCTCTCCGGTGCTGTTCACAGATGGTTCACATCCTACCTCACAGACAGAACATTTATGGTGAGTGTAGACACATGCTCCTCCAGGGTCCATAAAAATCACATGTGGTGTGCTGTGCTTTTTAACTTGTACATGCTCCCTCTTGGTGGTGTCATCAGGAGACATGGAATCAACTTCCACAGCTACGCAGATGATACACAGCTTTACATCTCCATGTCTCCTGATGACACCAGACCAATGGATGCCCTTTTTAACTGCATTCTAGAAATTAAGTCCTGGATGGCAGAAAACCTCCTCCAGCTTAACCAGGACAAAACTGAGGTTTTAGTCATTAGTCCTGAGGCCCAGAGAGAGAAACTTTTACCCAAATTCCAAACACAGTCTTTTAACCCTTCTCCTCAAGTGAAAAACCTGGGTGTCATTTTTGACTCTGAGCTAACTTTTATCCCACACATTAAGAACATCACAAAAATTGTTTTTTATCACCTAAAAAACATAGCCAGAGTCCGCCCCATTCTCTCTCTGGCCAACACAGAGACGCTGATGCATGCTTTTATCACCAGTCGAATAGACTATTGTAATGCCCTGCTCTCTGGTCTTCCCAAAAAGAGTATTTCGGGTTTGCAATTATTACAAAATTCAGCTGCACGTGTCCTGACGAGGACCAGAGGGCGGGACCACATTACACCGGTTTTAAAATCATTGCACTGAGGCCCCGCGGAAGACCCAGGACACGCTGGAGGGATTATGTCTCTCGGCTGGCCTGTTAACGCCTCGGGGTTCCCCCGGAGGAGCTGGAGGACGTGTCTGGGGTGAGGGAAGTCTGGGAGTCCCTGCTTAGACTGCTGCCTCCGCGACCCGGCCCCGGATAAGCGGAAGAAAATGGATGGACGGATGCACTGACCCCCTGACCAAATATTGCACTTCCCTCCAAGACCTCGGCTACTGTTAATCAATATTCAATTAAAGCCAACACTAAGAATAAGATAAAGAATAAAGAGCAAGAATAATGCAGCAGTGGCAATCTGTTACACAGGGAAAAATAAATTAGCTTCAAGAAGACCATTAGCGACCACCACCCCAGATATACAACAAAAGAGCATTTACCGCAAATTTAGAAGGGGGGGGGGGCACTCTACATGGGGCTCGGAGCGCGCTACGAGCGGCCGCCGGCACCACCGCCTACTCCAGACAACCTTTAAAATGTAGTCAGACACATCACATTAAAGCAAATTCTATAAGAAATATTAAAACAATAACTCCGGTATACACGCGCTGCCTTCAAAAGCCACCGAAAGCCCCGACTGCCACACCACGGCGTGCGCAGCCTTTTCTAATCGCCGGGAGCCACGCGCAGCGACTCACAGGTGGACGCACTCACGGACGCAACACAGTAGGACAACATAGTCTAATCACCCGGTTACACTTGCATGTGCATGCTCCCTGGAGAGTCCCACTCAGATTATAGAGAAAAGTCCTATCTGTGCCCCCCCAGACCTTCAACTCACTTCACATTTACCTTCTCTCATCCCAATAGTGTGTGTGCTTCCTGTGCCCTGATCCATTTTGCAAGAGCGAATAACGGAGCTAAACTCCAAGAGTTTCCGATACAAACTCCACACTGTGGACACAGTAGGCCTGAACGAGGAGCTTTATGCAGAGCTCTGCATGATTAGCACAGACCTATAGTGTAGTTTATACTGTTTAGTCCTGCTGTGTAACTCCAGCTCTATGAATGTGATAATGTGCACTGATGAAAAAATTACAAATGTGACTGTGTTAAGGGCATGTGGAAAAAAAAAAAAAAAACATAATCATTATAAGGTTTATAATTAGATGTATATATGTTATAGGCATATTTTGATTTCCAAAAGCTACTGCAGTATATCTGTACTGGATCAAGGAACAACTTTAGTTCCCTCTGTGAGGGTAAAGGGATCAACACATTATGCTCAAATACAAAGAGGAAAAAAATCTGGTAGAAGAACTTTAACAAGACATAAACTTTCTTGTTAAATGTGGCAAATTTTCATATGTCAATGCAGCTGAAGTAGAATATCACTACAACCAACAAACTCAAACTGCATTTATCATCTGACAGAAGCTGAAGGACCAGAATGAACCAGAAAGGTTGCCTCTGCACAAAGAACAAAAAGAAAGTATCCCTCCTCCTAGTGCTCTTTGCATCTGTCATCCTTCTGCTCACTTATACACAGGTAAAGAAATGGTTGCATGCTTATATACAGATTATAAGAGACTGTCACTTTTGATTAGGGTGAGCATTGACGTCAAGACATCCTTAGGTTGAAGACAGGACTCATAAAATCATTGTTATTATTTCACAGTTCATTTAGTTATGAATGCAATCCTTGCATGTAAGTCTTCCCTGCATTTTGGAGGTCATCTATTTTAGAAGTCACTGCATATATATTTATAGTTTCCTTTCTTGAGGGATTACACAGATATTTAGAGGGAAACACATTTTAATGTAGTAACAATTCAGACAATTCACAAGTGTACAGCACCTAGTATCATTGTTGTTACCATTATATATAGACTTTAAACAAATATCTAAACCACAGTGTAATATTTTGATTTATCTGTGACACAATGTAGTCATATCCATATTTATTTTTATTTATTTTAGGTAGGCATAAGGTGGCCACCCATTCACCAAACCTATCCACTGAACCTATGTGAAAAGGTTAACAGTTTAGGTTTCATGCTTGACAGTTGACTTAGCTTTGAGCCAGACATTAAGTAAGTAACTAAATCTTTTTATTATCCAAAAATGTGTGAGTATATATACAAAGACCATCAATTTCTCTCTCAAGCTTGTGCAGAGACACATGTTTTTATTACAAACCATGTTGATTACTGTAATGCTCTTCTTTCTGGTCATCCAAAGAAAACTACAGCACCACTTCAGCTACTACAAAACTCTGTAGCACGACTGCTGATTAGGACCTGGAAGAAAGAGCATATCACCAGTACTGAAGTCTCTGCACTGTTTTAATTAATTGTTTTAGTCCTATTTGTTTATCTGGTCTGCTTTTATCATATGAGCCCTCTTTGTCATCTTTTAATTGTCTCAATAGTCTAAAGTGTTTTACTTTAGACTATTCAGTATCACCCTGAGATCCACTGTGAGTGTTTATACTTTAAAACTCAAAACTTATCTTTTCAGTTTAGCTTTTACTTAAAATTCTAAACTTTGTTTTAAATGAAATTACTATTATTTTGTTTTTACTTGTTGTTTTTTTTATAGATACTTTTGGGGTCTCCAACCCGTACTCCGCACAGATGTTTCTTTACACCCACTGCTTAGTTATGCCACTCCATGTGTGCTTTCCCTCCTAGCATCTTACACCCTTCAGTTATGTTCTGGACACTAACCCCAAACCTGAGATTGGGTATGAGGCCCAGTAAGTATCACGCTGAACAAGGCAGCGACTGATCTGAAAGATAAGATCATGGCCAGAAGGCAACCACAATGCCAGTTACAGAGGCTAAGTGAAGTACCACCTGAAAGTCTCCTAGAAGATGTGAATGCAACACTGAGGTGATCCCTACCATTACAGAAACCAATAAGCTGATAGACACATAAGAGCAACCATGGAAGCCATAAGAAACAATACCCACCAGTGGCTGGTGGATGCGAGAGAAGACCACAGCTACCTACCTGCACAGAATCCAGTCACCATCACAGCAGCATACATCCAGAAAACAGTATCAGGTATGAAAAACTGGACAGCACCTGGCCCAGACATGATCCTTGCATGCTGGCTAAAGAAAGTCACTGCACTCCATGAATGTCTGGCAACACAAACAAGGGATGGGACTGGCCCTGAATGGCTAATTGAAGGGCATACGATCCTGATTCTGAAGCATCCCTCAAAGGATACAGTAGCATTCCACTTTCAGCCAATAACCACAACACGGAAGCTCATGTCAGGAATCATCTCTGCTAAAATAAGCGGGCACATCTGTCAATAAATGGTAAATGGTAAATGGTCACATTTTTCTATAGCGCTTTTCCACCTTCAAGGCACTCAAAGCGCTTTACAACAAGGAACCACTCACCCATTCACACACACATTCACACACCAGTGTACGCAGACACTGTGGGCAAGGTGGGTCAAGTGTCTTGCCCAAGGACACAATGACAGCATTCATCTGAGTGGATCTGACCACTCAACCTGTGATGTTTATGTCGAGAGCTGGATTCGAACCGCCAACCTTTAGATCAGTCTACCAACTGAGCTACTGCCGCCCAATAAATGAGCATAGTACAGAAAGGCATCGGCATAAACACCAGGGGAGCCAAACACCAACGCCTGGTTGACTGAACAATCGCCTGTGACTGCAGAACCCGTCAGAATGAGCTGTGCACTGCCTAGATTGCAGTGGCGTGGTGTCAGGGCCTGCAAGGCCTTCTCTGCTGGCCTAAAAAAATATCTGAATCACAGACTGATGTTAATTATATTATTAAATAATTCCAAATAGTCTGTCTGCTTCCTTTCAGAACATTTCCAATAGTTGTGTTGCTTCCAGACGTGCATTTTAAAGCATTTAAAGCATTTGACCTATCACATTTCAGCCGTCACTTGTTGCTAGGCACAGTCAAAGTCAAAGAAGTCTGTGTGTCACTGGATTCAGACCCGTTGACTCGACAGTCAGAGAGCGAAACAGCCAAAGCAGCAAACTGCATCTGTAGCGGAACCAGGACTAAACCAGGTCTAAACCAGCACTACACCAGGTCTAAACCAGATCTAAATCAGGACTACACCAGGACTAATCTTGGACTTCAGCAAGAGAGAGAGCAAAAGAGAGTAAGAGAGTGTCCACAAAGCATGATCGGGCGACAGCTACACTGAGTCCCACCAAGATCTAGAGCACAGACAGGCTTGAGAAGTGTAGTGACAAAGAGAGGGAAGGTAGTCCACACAGAAGGGGTCTCACTTCCAGAGGGAACAATATTAAGGACAGTTACAGTACCTTGGTAACCCACAAGCAAATGGCAACCTTGAAGAGGCAACAAGGAAAGCAGCTATGACCAAATACCTATGAGAAGGGCAAGAGGTCAGCTCAATGGCAAGAACAAGTTCCAGGCAATAAACCTCTATGCCCTACCAGTGATTAGATATCCAGCAGGAAACAAAAGCTGGCCAAAGGAGGAAATACAGAACACAGATGTAAAGACACGAAAGCTCTTGGCCATGCATGGAGGGTTCCATTCCAATTCAGCACACTGAGACTGTACGCAAGCTGGAAGGAAGGAGGCCAAGGAATAGTGAGTGTGGGAACCAATGTCCATGATGAAACATCCTAGATCCATAAGTACATCAAGGACAAGGTCCCAACCGATGATGTGCTCAGAGAATGTCTTAGACAGTGGCGCGCAGAGGAAGAGGTACTGTCAGGACAAGCCTCCATACCACTGGAACATAACTGAAGTGGCTGATATCAAGAAATCCTACCACTGGCTTGAGAAGGCTGGTCTGAAGGACAGAACAGAGGCACTCATCCTGGCCCGAGCAATAGAGGCCCAGATCTACCAAACCAGACAAACCTGTGGTGCAGGCTGTGCAAAGAGGCCCCAGAAATATCCCAGCACATAACTGCAGGGTGCAAGATGCTGGCATTGAAGGCATACATGGAGTGACATAACCAAGTGGTGGGCAGATACATCTGTATACCATGGAGACCAGGAGACCCCAAGGCCAAGGTAAGAAACACCTCCAAAGGTAATGGAGAATGAGCAAGCCAATGTCCTGTAGGACTTTCAGATACAGACAGACAGAATAGTGATGGCAAACCAGCCAGATATCGTGGTGGTGGATAAGCAGCAGAACAAAGCTGTGGTGGTGGACATTCCAGTACCAAGTGATGGTAATATCAGGAAAAAGGAACACAAGAAACTAGAGAAATACCAGAGGCTCAAGAAGAGCTGGAGAAGGCCTGGAAGGTGAAGGCATCAGTGATAATCGGAGCACTCGGGGAGAGAGAATATATATATCTTCCTTACCCTCTGAGGGTGGTCTTCTCTCTCATCCTCATCCAGCTCGGGTCCTACCCAAGACACTGTTAGTTTCTGTTTTATCTTGCAAAAATGAAAAACAAGCTCAGGGGCACAGGATTGTTCTTACAGTACTCTTAATAGTGTTAGAGCAGAATTCACAGCATCAAATGTCAGAGAGTCTACAAGCATCTACTTGAGATTTCAGAGAAGTATCAGGGGTTTGAGAGTCTACAAGCCTGTAACTGTTTTTTGTTTTTGTTTTTTTTGAGCTGACAGATAAATCTGGGAGAATCTTTTTAGTTGATACATAATTCTGGGAAAATCACGGAGCACCTGCAGTTTGCATCATTCAAGGCCACTGAACAGAACATTTTGCACTTTAAATGTAAGGCAAGGCAAGGCAAGTTTATTTGTATAGCACAATTCGTACACAAAGTAATTCAAAGTGCTTTACAGAATAAGAAATACATTCAAATCATAATAAAAACAAATCAAAACATAATCATGAAGATTAAAATTAAAAAAGAGAGACATAAATTGGAGAGAAGAGTGCGGAATGAAAACCTTTCAGTTATATGCACAGTTAAACAGAAATGTTTTGAGTCTGGATTTAAACAGCGTCACAGAAGAGGCCTGTCTCACATGTTCAGGAAGACTGTTCCAGGTTTTAGCTGCATGAACCTGAAACGCTGACTCCCCTTGTTTAGTTCTGACTCTGGGCACCAGCAGGAGGCCGGTCCCTGAGGTCCTCAGAGTGCGAGATGGTTCATATGACACTAACATGTCACAGATGTACTTTGGTGCTCGGCCATGGAGAGACTTGTACACAAGCAGAGCTGCTTTAAAGTCTATTCTCTGAGGCACAGGAAGCCAGTGCAGAGACCTGAGCACAGGACTTATGTGCTCGTACTTCCTAGTTCGAGTAAGGACCCGAGCTGCAGCGTTCTGGATGTTCTGCAGCTGTCTCACAGCTCGTTTGGAGAGACCAGTGAGCAGACCATTACAGTAGTCTAACCTACTGGAGACAAATGCATGGATAAGTTTCTCCAAGTCTGATTTAGACAGTAAACCTTTGATTTTTGCTATGTTTTTTAGATGGTAAAAGGCTGCAGATGTTATTGATTTTATGTGACTGTTAAAGTTCAAGTCTGAGTCCATTATTACCCCTAGATTTCTTGCCTGATTTGAAGGTTTTAGAGCGAGAGAGACTGGAGGTGACTGCTGACACTGTCCCTTTGTTTCTGTGGACCAAACACTATGACTTCAGTCTTGTCAGAGTTTAGCTGGAGAAAGTTGTTTTGCATCCACACACTGATCTGTTGGATGCAGTGACCAAGTGACTCCACTGGTCCATAGTCTCCTGCTGCCAGAGAGACGTAGATCTGAGTGTAATCTGCATAATTGTGGTACGACACATTATTGCTGCTTATTAACTGGCCTAATGGCAGCATGTAGAGATTGAACAACAGGGGGCCCAGGATTGACCCCTGAGGCACCCCACAGGTCAGGGCCATGTCATCTGAGACACAGTTTCCAATTTCAACAAAAATACTTCCTGTCTTCTAGATAGGACTTGAACCAGTTTAGTACAGTACCAGAGATGCCCACCCAGTCCTCTAGTCTCTGTAAGAGGATCCCATGATCGACAGTGTCAAAAGCAGCACTCAGATCTAACAGGATCAAGACTGAGACTTTGCCTGCATCAGTGTTCAGGCGGATGTCATTTGTCACCTTGATAAGAGCAGTCTCAGTGCTGTGGTGGGCTCTAAAACCTGACTGGAAAACATCAAAGGAGTTGTTCATTTGGAGAAAGTTCATAAGCTGTTGGTAAACAGCTTTTTCAAGGACTTTGCCAAAAAACGGCAGATTTGAGATGGGTCTGAAATTGTTCAGTACTGTGGCATCAAGACTGCTCTTCTTTAGGAGAGGCTTAATGACCGCAGTTTTCAACGCATTTGGGAATGTTCCAGATTGAAGTGACATGTTAACTATGTGAGTGAGTGGTGAAAGTAAACTGTTGAGGATGGACTTTAGAAATCTAGTGGGTAACATGTCCAGGCAGCAAGTAGATGAACTCAGACTGGTAACGATCTCTAAAACAGTTTTGTCAGTTACAGGTGCAAAGTGATTCAGCTCTAAGTGTCTCTGTGGCTGCATGCTTGTTATTTGTGTTGTGGAATTGATGGAATTTTTGATGCCCTGAACTTTGTCATTAAAGAAAACTGCAAACTCATTACATTTAGATGTGGAAATTAGTTCTAGTGGCAGTGGAGCTGGAGGGTTTGTTAATCTGTTCACTGTTGCAAACAGGACACGAGAGTTGTTACTGCAATTACCAATAATGTCCGAAAAATACTTCTCTCTTGTAGCAAGCATTTAGTATGATGAGCACAAATAAGATTATTGTTCACAACACTAATGCTGCTATGCTGCTGCCCATGCTGGGTTTCAGGCAGCAGGCTCCATGACATGATCCAAGTTGAATCAATGTTGACAAAATATCCTCACGTTGTTTATGCATTGTTCTGTTTTTAGAGCTTTGACTTCAGATTGCACCATTGGTACAAAACAGCTACAGTTTACTTCATGCGAACAGCTTTTGAGTTAACAACTACAACGTCACCACCAAAGACAGCTAAGCCCACCACCATGTCCACAACACAGTCTAAACCTGAGCTCCAGAGATGCAGTTACAAATATTTATCTCCTGCAAATGCAGAACAAGGACGCAAACTTTTGGACTCTATAACCTGGCCTGAAACTCTGCACCTGCCCAAACCCTTTTCACAGAATTTGACGACTAGTGCCTCTAAAAGTATGTTCACTATTGTACCTCAAAGGAAAGGCTGGCATCTGGGGGACAAGCTGACAGTTAGGATTCAAATGAAGGATTTTTATGGAAACCCAAAGAGGAGCGGAGGGGACTTTGTTATCGCCAAGCTCCAGAACCGGCAGCTAGGGGCAGCTGTAGTGGGACAGGTGCAGGATCACTTCAACGGGACATTTACTGCTGTGTTTCCTCTGCTGTGGAATGGGACTGCGTCTGTAGAGGTAAGTGAATTAACCATATTTATGAACTCAAAGACAGCAGCTCCCAGTATAGAGTTTAAGTCCCATGGTACTCCTTTCTCACAGCACACAATTAGAGATGGACTACCAGTATATGTTTGTTTCATAGTGGAGCTCTTAAGGAGCAAAACAGTTAACTTTTATGGTACAAGCATGACATTTTGCCACATTACTAACACCCCCAATAAAAAACCCTGACATAAAAAAGACTGCATAATCCCTTTCTTATAGTCTAATTTGCTTAGTTATACATTTTGCAATGTTGAACAACATTTTTTTTTTTTTTAAAGTCCAAAGCATTAAGGAGGTCATGTGACCATTTTCCTCGAGAATGTAAGGGTTGTGTGGGTTCCCTCTGATTGAAATCTGTAGTGGACCAAATATAAAAATAAGTTTAGATTTAATAAATTCAAAAAAGGTATAATTTAACAAAGGCTCAAATTAGGCAAGTTACTAACAAAAAAAGCAGGGCCCAACTGGGCCTACTAACTTACTCAAAGTGAGTCTCCACACGTTCTGATGACTCAAGGCCGCTCTCCTCTTTTTATTTCATTAGGAGGCCCTAGTTACAGAATGATAATTCTCAAGGGGAAGGGGAAACCAGCAAAGACATAATAAGAAACTGGTGCAGCTATGCATAGTATAAACACATAAAACATGATTAACAATCAGGAGGTGCCTTAGGTCAGACACCATCATAACTCTTGCATGTGTGACAGTGGGAGTTGGCTTCATGTGAGGAATCATCTTGAGGTTCACTAGAGCGATAGGACACTGCACACAGTTGTCAAACACAGAGAGGTTATTCAACAAGTGACAAGTGATTGGTACATTATAAATCAAAGAATTGTAGTACATAAATGGTTAACTCATAGGCCTAGAATATCACACAAGTATTTAGCAAATATGGGATAATAAAATTATTCTGACACAGTGCTCAAAAAAACAAAAACAGTGTAAGTAAATTAGACTTATATTCACTAAAATGTGTGCACTGAAATTAGAATATAAGTCTAAATAAAGGAATTAAAGCTTAATGCAATTAACTTAATGGAAATGAAATGAAATTATACTGACACTATGGAGTGGTGGCAGAGGTATCCACCATAAAATCCAAGTTAATAAAATATTTTATCTTTCAAAGCCATATTTATTGGATTTTTGATAACAAAAACATTTAACCATCTCTAAAGATCTGTAAGTGCCATATCATATTTCATAATGATAATTAAATGTTGAATGGATGTGAGGCTTACCCCCAAACACTTAACAGAGATCTATCTTAAATCGTTAAACTTATTCAAAGTGCTCTAAGTGCAGCTGCGGCCACATTGGCATGAATCTGTACATGCCAAATTTGCCTTTGCACACTTGCATCGCCCAGTACAGGCTACTCTGCATCCACACTTGATAAATTCATAGTATGCGTCCTTTGCCTGGTGGAGTGTGCCATGTGGAGTGCCATCACGCTTCCATCCCCTGTCTGCAGGGCTGGGGAGATCTGGTGTCTTAAAATACTAAAATTCTTAATGGTGCATTATAACTTTTCAAATGGGATGTCCATAACTTTCTTGAATCATGAAGATGTTATAGCTTTGGCTGGAATGTTCCACTGTGTGGCATTAAACATTTAAGTCTTGTGTATATTTAGTTAACGATTGAAAATGTGTTTATTGCTCAAATAACTAAAATACAGACATTCTTACATTTAGCAGGGTCTCTTGCTTGTCACAAGGGAGATGGATAAGGTTAATGTCTTACTGTGAAAACAAATCATCTCCATGAAGACAAGCAGATATTTTACCTTCCACTGGAAATGTTACATTGTGCATCTTTAAAGACGTTAAATTGCATTGGTCTTTTACATAGCCTGTATATCTCACATTATGGGTAGAAAAAACATTATTTCAGCAGTTTAAGCAAATATGTATTTAATTAGACTTTCATTTTAACATTTGAAGCTAAAACATAGTACATTTGTGGTCTTTATAATGGGTTTATATCTTTATTACAATCCATATCTCACTGTAGTACAGATGTGAACAGAGCCTCCTCTTTAGATGAGATTATAGTCTGAACATCCACAAGTCATTTGAAATTGAGAGATCACAATGAAACTACAACAAAACCTGTCACAAAACCTTGTCTAATCTCACCTGAATTTGGTCATAATCCCACATTACCATCTCCACAATTTCAAAGGTGTTCTCAGTCTGGTGTGGGATTACTTGAATGAGCAGTCCACCTCTGCTGTTGTCATTATTGTTATTATGATATTGTGATGTTTTTTGGGGGGTTTTTTTATATTTAAAATCAAGTCAAAGACAGTGTAAGAGCAGATGCTGCTAATATAACATTATGATATGGATAATAAGATGCAAGGTCATTTACACACAGGCAATTCAGATATTAATGCATAGAGAGTTCTGGGCATAAATTTGTTAGTAGTATTACAGATGTACTATGTAACTTTTCTGCTGGGAGAGATAATTGCAATGTTATATTGTATCTCAGTATGGCATTAAACTTGTCTATCTCCATGGAGACAAGACAGTAGCACAACCAGGCCATGTTTACAGGTCAGATATGTGGAGAGGTGGTTATATAGGTTATAAGGTTATATATATAGGTTTAGTGCCTTACTGATGAATATCTCAAGCAGAGCAATGAAAGCTCCATGGTAACAAGCAGGCATAATGTCCATAACAAGACTGCATTAAAAAAAACTTAAGTCATCTACAGGTTTTATATACAAAGCCTTATATAAAATGTCATTTGTGTAGTTAGTAGTTTTTATACACATACTTTATACTTTTACTCAAGCACAAGTTTCGCAGTAGTACTTGTAACTGCGTAGATATTTTGCTTTGTAACTGTACTTCGACTCTCAGATTTTCTGTAGTCTTTTCACTATTTGAACCAGGAAACTAAAAGGAAGACCGAAGAGCTGATTTAACCATTGAATATATAGGTCAAAGAAAGATTAGGGGGAGAGAGAAATGAAGATATAAAATCAAACCCACACAAAAATAATTTTCATGAAGTTTTACATTTGCCTTAAAGTTGGACTAAACATCTAAACTCCGCCCACAAACACATTTCAAATAGAGCTGATAAACTGAGTGGTACCTGGAGGACTAAAGAAGAGAGTGAAAGGAGAGAGGGGCGGGGCTAGGTGGTATAAGGAACATTGTGACTGGTCTAACAGGCATCCACACTACAGACTCCGCCCCTATAGTCAGGTATTTGTAAACAGAAACAACTGGCTGTAATCAGGGCGGTCCTACGTGATGTCACATAATACTTGATGTCACAGAGGCCACTGGAGTACACACACACTCATTTTTACATACTGTTGCCCAGATTCTTTTGCAGATGTACCTAGTTTGCTCTAAAATGACCAGAAAAGTACTAGAAACAGTAAATAACACTATTAAAGATGCACTGTGTAACTTTTTGATTCGGGGTCTGTTACCTGCTTGTTTCTATGGAGATGTCATTGCTTTGCCTGGAATGTTCCACAGTATGACATTAAACAGCTGTACTTCAGATTTATTAAATTACAGGTGGTTTTATAACTCAAAAATACCTTAAAAAAAACAAAAAACAGGTGTTCTGACTGTGAGCGGGGTCAGAGATCTGACCTGTAACTTGGCCTTGTTTGGTCTCCATGAAGATAGAAAGTTTTATTACCATACTGTTAAACATTCCAGACAAAGCAATAACATCTCCATGGAGACCAGAAAAGTTACACAATGTACCTTTAAAAAAACACCACTAGTTTAGTAGCTTTTTTTTTTTTTTTTTTTGTTATTTAATGTTTACTTTCACTTTAAAAACAGCAATGAAAACTGCTTTGCACTAGCTAGAATCTTGATACATACTCTTCTTTATAACCTATATCATAATGTAACATTATTTTCCAAAAAAGGCGGTTTAAGGAGTAATTTAGCTCTAAGCCTCGTTTTCACGTGAGCCATTTTGTGACATGCGTAGTACTCGGCTCCAGGGTCGACTTGGGCTTGGTTTCTTATCCAGAAATGTTAGTCATAGGGATGTTAATAATCTGGCAAAGTTTCATGCTTGTACCATAAAAGTGAACAATTGAGCACTGTTTTGTCTCCACTATCAGGGCCTATGCCGATTATTTAGAGTCCAGAACAACCGATGGCCGATAAGTTCTACCCTGCCGAATTAAATTTACTACAAACTCATCCATAGCCTTTTTTTTTCACAAACCTTTAAGATAGCAGTGTGGTCACGTTTTTGTGCAGTTATCCCACTCATTACAGTGTTCAGATAAATATACTGTGCATTAGACTACCACACACCAATGCTTTACACCGCCCAAAGTCCACAGAAGAGCACTCACCCTTTTAGTAATATGTCATGACTTGATAACAGTAATAATAGTTGGGAATGGTGGAAACCCTCCCAGCCTCAAATAAACTCTACCTTGTCCAAGGGCCTGCCTGCTGTGAGACAATTGTGCCTCTATGTGCCAATAACTATTTTACTATTTCTATAACAGTACTTAACTTTTATGATAATACACCTTACATTTCTCTTAGCCCTCAAAGCCTTACACTGTCTGTAATGGGACTGGGATTGGGCCACTGGGATAGTGGGAATCATACTCAAAAATTGACATTGGTGTTGGTTCTTTGTAGGTGATGCTGGTGCATACTAGTGAGTCCATCACTGTCTTAAAGCGCCTGACAGAGGAGGAGCCTGACAGGATCACCTTTGGCAGTGACTTCAAGTCTGGATCAGTCAAACACGTGAGCGTATGCAACGTGTGTCTGGATCCAAATAAAGCTCCACTGTGTAATTATACTGACCTCAACACTGGAGAGCAATGGTTCTGCTACAAACCGAAAACACTAGGCTGTGATACTCGCATCAGCCACTTCAAATACGGTTACAGCCAGAAAATCAGCAAGGACGAAGAAGCTCTCTTCCAAAAGTAGGAACAATATAGTGATCTGTGTTTAATTATAGCTGCATTGAAATATTTGTTCCAGTCAAATATAGAGCTAGATTTCAATGAGCAATATCTATTCTGTGTAGGGGAATCAACTTGAATGCCCCTATTATGGCCACAGGAAATGACACTATCATGATTTTGCCAAAAGCAGGTACGCTTTTCTGTTTCTTTAAATAATTAAGTATTGTAAAATAAATAGCTCAAAAGACTTATAAACTTTCTGTAAATCTTTTTTTTTCTTTGTTCAGGTGAGCCAAATGTGGGGAGTCCAGGATCTTCTGGATATTATTTTAACAACCAATGGCGATCACTACGTGGCCCTGCAGTACGTCAGTTCAACAATGCCTCAGTCATTACTGCCTGTCTCAAGGGGAAACAGTTACATCTGTTTGGAGACTCCACCATCAGACAGTACTACCTCTACATCACAAAAACAGTACCAAGTATGTAGGATTGTTTGTTTAGAATCTTATTCTATGGGGAGCTTTGGTCTTACAGGTAAATCTTTGTGCATGATTTTGAGATATAATGAGCCCTTTGTTTTAGACCTACAGACGTTTGACAAGCACAGTTCACCTCAAAGTGGCCCGTTCTTGGCTGTCGACTACATCAACGACATTGTGATGACATTCCGCTGCCATGGGCCTCCCCTCCGCTTTGGATATGTCCCTGTGTCCCAGCTGCGATATGTGGCTAATGAACTGGACGGAGTGACTGGTGGACCCAACACTGTGGTAGTGATAGGTATCTGGTCTCACTTCAGCACTTTTCCCATGGAGGTCTACTATCAGCGCATCATGACAATTCGCAAAGCAGCTCTACGTTTGCTAAACCGAGCTCCGGACACTAAAATCATCATCCGAAGTGCCAACATGAAAGACCTGACCCTATTCGAGAGTCTGACTAACAGTGACTGGTACTCCCTGAAGAGAGACAAGTTGCTCCGAGCTGTGTTCAGAGATACCGGGGTGTTTCTGTTGGATGCCTGGGAGATGGCACAGGCTCATTACCTTCCTCATAACCTTCACCCACAACCGGAAATCATCAAACAAATGATTGATGGAGTCCTGTCCTATACATGTCCTGGAAAGGGAGACTGAATACTGTAACAAACACAAAGAAGGAAATGAGATGAATGTACTTGAATCTATAGTTTTAAGCCATTGTGTTTATTATATTTTAATTAAAGTCTCTAACCAATAACTTATTGTTTATTTTGCTTTTTTCTTTTTTTTTTTACAATTAATGTGATTTTTTTTTTTTTTAATGCCTATGAATTTTATATTTTAGTAATTTCTGTCCATGCATGTTTATTTAGTGTTGGCAAGTAACTAAATGCATTATAATGTGATCACATTTAGCAATGTTCACTACTTGAAACTTGTATCTTGATGCATTAATGCTGCTGTTACTAACCTGGGAATACCAGTGAAATGCAGACACATAAAAGGCATTGTTGCTTGGAGTCAAGGACGGGACTGTGAGCTCCTGCTCCCCTTCACACACACACACATACACACATACAGATACACACTATAAAAACTGTAAACACATGTCAGGGCTCTCCCCCTGTCTTTTCTGGAGAGCCCGCAGCTACGCTGTTTAGTTTTTGCCTAGCTATGCTGTCACTTTTCCTTTCTGTTACTCAATAAATCCTTCTGACTACATTTCAGATTCATGGTCCTCTTTGACACTTACACCGGAAACATACATCCTTACAGCATGTACCGAAAATATGTACATGTATTAATACAGTAGCTGTATTATGGTACAGTTACTCTCATTTTGTGGTATTCAGAATACAGTTACTTGTCTAAGATCAAAGGAATACGTGATCAAACTTCAAACTACATGGTGAAGGAGAATAGAGAAAACAGCTCTTTTGAGTCATCATTGATCAGTGGTGTTTAAATGCATAACAAACAGTGAAACACACAGCTGTTATCCTAGCTCCTTTACACTGTAATGAATAATGGTACTCAATGTAATTGTGTTGTATGTACCTAGAATACCGAACTCTGGTTGGACCAAGAAACAGAATATTGTTAAAATACATGTAAATACAGGTTTCTGGTAACTGAATACATTTTTTAAAAATTATTAATTAGTGGGTGTGCTGGTGGTGGTGGAAAACTTTATTTTATTAACATCTAACTACCTGCTAATTAGCATTGTTTTAAATGGTTAAATTGTCATTAATTAGAATTTATTTAGCCTTTATTAATGGCTATTTCCCAATAAGCTTATTCTGCTATTAGTTAGACATTTACAAACACTTTCCTATTAATATAGTCCTTATTGCTGCTTATTAGTTTGATACTAAGCCATTTTTGTCCATGAATTATGATTCTAATAAGCTTTTGGTAATAAGTGTGTTGTTAAGGACTAGTAGCATAAGAAATGTAGTTTTTACTTATTTGCACTTAATACATTTAGCTTATTCTTATGTAATAAAACACTCTCTATTAGGTGTTTATAGAGTCCAACTTGCCATGAATTAAGTCATTAAGCTCTGAATATGTTCCCATTCTAAAGTGATGTTTTGACCGTAGCTAATAAATGACTAGTTTGATACAAATTTAAATTAATATGGTCCCTATTCTTAAGTGGCCTCTTCTTCACCCTTAATTCATGTACTGTGACATGCATATTAATAGTTCATATATATATCAAATATATTTAATAGTTCAAAAGGATTACAAATAGATTGTATGTAGAAATATTTGTTAATAATATTACAGATGGATAAGGACGAATTTGGGTTAGGTGTAGCTGACTCAACATATTTATTTACAAATTATCTGCCGTTGATGTAAGAAAATTGCACATCCCAAAACTACTCAAATCAACTTCAAAGACTCTCAATTTGGTCTTCCAGTATTATTTCCCCCCCCCAAAAAAGGTTCTTTTTAGTAGGCCAGTGTTTTGTTTTTTTTGTTTTGTTTTGTTTTTTGAAGAAAAGTGTTACAGTACTTTTAAATTTTAAAACTGTTTTAAAATACATATTTGTGCATAGGTGAGTTAAATTTTGGATATAATACACACAGATTTCTCAGCAACTTTATTCTGCTGTGAAATGATTTGTCCACCATTTACAACAATTCTGTTCTCTGCCACCCTCTGCTGGAGTTCACCTCAAGCATTTATTGGATAACTGTTGCAGAGGTTTTATAATTTCCAGTGCTGTTCAGTAGAAATTATTACAATTTAAGTTAAATATATTTAAACTTGTGTACAACAAAACAACACAAAGCTGAATTATATATGAAAGAACGTTGTCTACACCACTGGTTTGACCATCATCCTGGTTGCCTTCAGAGAGTATGGAGCACTGGTTTTCCAGCTGTCCCAGTGCAGACCAGATGCCCAACCGATGTGGTCTCCTGCTGGGTGATAGTCGCCATGGAGACTGGCCGACCCACAGCGACTGAACCACCAGCCCCCTCCCTCTGAAGCAGCACACTCTTCCAGGGCAATGTCCCCAAAAATACAAGGCTGGCAGCCATCATTATCCTTGTCTATGGTACTGAAGCCAAAACCATTCTGGTCAATTCCTTTGTACACACCACGAATAGCATCACCTAAAGAAAAAATTTAATGAAATAAATAATTACATGATAAAAGGAAACTAAGAATTAATAAGGCATGTGGAAATTCAAACTGAGAATTATACTTATATCATGTAAACTACAGACACATGTCAATCTATAAATGCAGTGTTGCTATATTGTTATTTATAATAGTAACATACATTGTTATATATGTTACTATTATACAGTGATGTGAAGTATTGCAATAGTTTGGTAATAGAATTAAAGGGGCCATATGTAACTTTTTGAATTTAAACATCAACTAGATCTGTCTGTGTGCCCAGATATGATGTTCAAATCAAATATAAATTTTACTGATAACAACTGTAATACTGAGTTATTCCACATTTGACATTTTGGTTCTCAAGACAATTATTCAATCAGAAAGCAGAATGATTCTCACATGAGTCTACATTAAACCTAAACAAACAAACAAACAAACAAAAAACTCTCCCTGATCCAGATTTTCACTACCTAAACCCCAGTTCCTGCAGCCAGTCATTATTCTGTGCTTCTGCTGTACTGTATGCTGTCCATATACTGAAACTTGTATGTGTCCACTATATGCAGGTTAAAGGCCAAATTATAGTTCTATTATAGGTCATACGCTGTCGCCGTCGCTTTATTGTCATCGTTTTTGTTTTACGGATCCACTTGAAGGTGTATGCGCTGAAAAGTAATTCACAAAATATACAAAATGTACAATGTACACAGTATACAAAATGAAGCAGGAAAGCAGAGTACCGGTTCAAGTCTGCATCACAACACTCATTGTATTTTTTGTTTGCGGGTTTGTGTCTTTTATTTATTTATTTTTTTCCTGGCCTCTTTGTTCTTGGTTGTGTGGCCCAGCAGAGCAGGCCTATTGTGTATTCCAGAGAACATCTTCTTTCACTGTCCAAGTCCCCAGTGCTGTTTGGAGATAAGTCAGACATAATTGTGGAACTACAGAGGAAGAAGAGAGCAAAAGTGAAACTACAAAGATGGAAATTCAAGCCTGTGGGGAACGTAAGGTCACTGAGAAATAAGTGTGGGCTTGTTCAGACCCAGAGGGAGTACACTGTATCATGTGCGATAAGGACATCTGGTTTCATTACAAAATCCCCTGACCACAGTGCATCTGTACCAACCTTTAAGACTTTGTGGGGAGATGGGACACTCTCCTTAGCCCTAAGAAAAAGGGCGGCAGGATTGCTGCTTTGGTGAATGAGAGGTGGTGCCATATCACTGTGAAGGAGCGTATCTGTTCACTGGACATTGAATTTTTGGCTTTGGGAATGCGTCTTTATTATTTACTAAGGGAATTTACTTCTGTCCTCTTCATTGGAGTTTAAATCCCTCCCTCAGCGGATGAAGATGCTACCTGTGACAGGACACACACTGTGGTTGCTGGGCTGCACCCAGAGGCTTTACTTCTGATCTCTGGTGATTTCAACCATGGCTCCTTGAACAGTGTTTTACCCATAACTCACGAGTATGTGGATTGTAAAACTCAACACAATAGAACTCTGGACTAGCTGTATGCCAATTCTAAGGATGCATACATTGCAGCTATCCTGCCCTGGGACAATCAGACCACAATCTTGTCCTGTTAAATCAGTATGTCTCTGCAGTGAAGAGGCAGCCTGTCACCACTAGTACTGTAAGGAAATGGAATCAGGAAGCCAGTCATGCCCTTCAGGACTGCTTTGAGACCACAAGCTGGGATGTGCTTTGTCAGCATGTTTGCCAACACTGACAATGGACTACATCAACTTCTGTGAGGAAACAGCAGTCCTCTCCTAGACATTGTTACTCCAACAACAAACCCTGGATCACCAGCCAGCTGAAGTATCTGCACAACAAGAAGAAGTAGGTCTCACACAGCGACAGCGTCCTGTATTTCGCTGTGGTCTGCTGGATGAGCAGCACCAGGAAAAGGGAAATTGGATGGATTGACAAGCTGATCCATGAAGCTGGACATGTGACATTTGTCACAGTGAGGGACAGGAGGACACTGGACAAACTTCTCTCCATCATGGACACCAGACTATAGAGGGACAGAGGAGCTCATTCTCCAACAGGCTCCTACAGCTCCGCTCAAACAGTGAGAGATACAGGACTACATTCGTACCATACTCCATACAACTGTACAACAACTCATCTTAGGTAACAGATATGCCTATGTCCTGACAATCATCATGTCATCCTTATACAGTTTTTCCTTACAACCTCTTGTATAGCTGAGATATATTTTTATTACTTTATGTTTTCTTTATTAAGTATTTTTCTTTGTGGATCATAAAGTTTGTCTAAGGTGCTGGCAACATAGGTTCCTTTTTTAAATATGTTAACACTGAGTGCAGGTTATATACAGTTCCTTTAAACTTATTTCTGGACAAAAATATACATTTGCTCTACATTTAAATTTAACCACTTTGCAGATTTTTTTTTCTCTCTATCTATCTATGAGATGAGAGGTTCAAATTTAGTCAGTGTACAGTGCTCAGCATAATACAGCATCTGTTGAATTAGGACAAATAACTAAGGTTAATAATATAACTTAGATTACACAATTTTTTGTTTTAGTCAAATTACGGTGATGCAAAGATGCAAATGCAAATGAGTACACCCCACCGAAAGTCTCAGAGCAAAGGTGTACATCAGACAATTGGCTACAAAAGGGTGTTACTTAAAGCAAACCCTTTCCCATTTCCTGCTGTCAGCATTGGCACCACATGGAAAAGAAATGACACAAGACCTGAGAAAGAAAATACATTTTTTTACACCAGAAAGGTGAAGGCTACAAGAAGATCAGCACAGCCTTACTTATTAGTAAGACTACTGTTGCAAAACTGGTTCAGAAATTTAGGCATCGCAAAGGTGAGGAATACAAAGAAAAATGCATGGTGCCTACAGTGAAACACGTAGGGGGTAGTGCTGCTGGTGTTGGGGAGCTGCATTTCATTGATGGCGTCATGAATTCAGAAATATATTGCTCTATACTGATGCTTCCATCACTTCGTGCCGTTGGTCATCATTTGATTGATGTTGCCAAATGTTGCCAACTTGTTCATTCTATGCCTAGAAGACTTGAGGCGGTCATTAAAAATAATGGAGGCCATACAAAGTACTAGATATTGTGGCTTAGTCTGTGCACATTTTGCAAATATTGTATAAAATGTTACTTTTCAAAGGGGGTGTAGTGTACTCATTTATGCTGTAATTTGACATTTTACCACTAGATGACACTAAAGGACACATGCTACACTTCTATTACAGTTCTTTTAAATAGAGTAAAGTAGACATCCATACCTGCAGTCCCATTGAACTTCCTGACATGCAGCTTGAAGCCTGATTTTTCATTGCCCAGTTTAAAGTGAGTGTACTCTGCAAATGCTGTGTTTCCTTCATGGTCCCAGAGATCCACTCTCAAAGTCCACTTCTTGGTCTTGTCTTTGGTTAAAGCAAAAATCTTCCTGAGTCCCAGCCAGTGGTCCTCTGCAAATAAGCATCAAGTTACAAGATGTTTTATTCAGTATGTAGATTTTGAGTTTAGATTTCATGAACTTGACCCATTGGTTTCTCCCAGATCAACAAAAGTAACTGTTAATGTTTCTTCTATTGTACTTAAGCCATATGATGACTTGAAATAATTAAATAATTTACTGCATGTAAGCCAGTGTATAAATGAGTGTTTTTTGGGTTGTTTTTAAGACAAGCACTCAGTGCACACCATGTAAAATAATTCAAGCATTAAGAAATGTTAAGTAATTACTTTTGATTAAATATTTTTATTATTAATACTAATACTAATACTAATACAGAGGATTTTTATTGAGAAAAAACCTTCCAGGTAGAAGATTGTTCTTTTATATTGCATTTGAAAAGTAAAATGTGAAACGCACCACTACAGGTATGCACACAGAGCCCAAATATACTGTTGGCCCATACTCAGTATTGATAAATGTATGTGGTGTAAACACATGAGGGTGCAGTACGATGTTCCTTCTGACAGTTCAGCCATATCTATATGGTATATGTAGACAGTGTGGATGCAAACAGAGTTGGTATGTACTTGTGTGGCTCCCAAAACCATTCTTATAGGCTGCCCAGACTCTGTTGAATTTCATCTGAGGCCCACTACGTTTTTGGAAAACTGTCCAGCTGCCATCAGCGCGCATCTCACAGTAAACCTACAACAGACAGAGAACAAGTGCGGCAAGTTTTGATAATAGTAGTTGTTGAGTTAAAAAGGACATCAAGTTAAATTTTTTCGACTTTATATTCATTCTGAATTCATTGTACATTATAAATTGCATAAATGTAATGCAGATATATTTTTTAGGCATTTTAGGTGTAAAAACTGTTTAACTTTACCCTGTTTGAGACATTCACAACAGAAACATGAAAGAGAAAAAGGGTTAAATTCTTGTTTCAGAGGGGATTTTGGATATCTTATTTCACATTTGAGTAAAAAAGATTGTAGTAGGACAAAGACATTAGGGCTTATACATGGTAGAAAGAGCTGCACTACACGACAATCAAATGCAGAGAACATATTTATGTATTTTGATAATTCTCAAAAACTGCAGGGTCAAAGTCAAAACTGAACTAGAGAGTCACATTATTTGACCTTCTGCACTACATAAAGTAAAACTGCTTGTTATTGGAGCAGTGTAACATTTTGGACCTTTAAAAAAAAACAATAGTAATTAATAAAAAATATTACCTTAAATGGGGCTCTGACTCCATTGGGCTGGATCCAATAAACTCCACTGAAAGCCTGAGGATTTTTACCCTTAATGTCACTACAGTCTGTTCCTGAGAAACGCATGGAAATGTCAGATCATTTCAATCTGGAGAACATGTCTAAAATAATAACTGATCAGGCATATATGAAGAAAACAAGTGTGAACATAATTTACCTTGAGCGACGTTTTGCTTCTTAAAAGGAAAAACAAAACACTGAGATTAACTATAATGAAAGTGAGTGGTTCAGATAGGTCATCATCTGTTACACTGTGTTATTTAAGGCTACATGTTGAAATATTACTCATCTGAGCTCATGCGGTGATAACAATGGACAAGCAAAGACTACTACTAGCATTAATACTGCTTTGTCTGCAATACTAGTAGTACTAAAAAACCTAGCCTGGTTTATGGGGCATGTTAAATGTACACTAAAAACAATCAATCCTGCATTTATTTAAGTACAGCTGTGATTATTGCTCAAAACCCCCTTGACAAACATGCCTCTTTATAGCCAACGGGATTCCCTCTCCACAGATCTGACCTGCATGTTTGCCCAGTGGCATTGCCTGACTGTCTCCGTGGAGAGGAAGATAAATAAGTGCAATGGCATGCTGGGGAACATGCAGGCAAGCTATAACATCTCCGTACAGTTCAGCAGTTAGCAGTCCCTTCATCTGAAAGGATACATAGCACCCCTGATGGCTATTAACTGAAAAGCTAAACCCGATTATGTAAAAAATATTGGCTCAGTAATAAATTTTTTTTTTTAAGGTCCTTTTAAAATTCAGTTATGCAAATGTGTTTATGTTCATGTTCATTTTACCTAAGATTTTTTTTTCTTTTTTATAATAGAAAAGTTTTCTTTACCTTAGATTGTTCACTGTAGGTGAAGAGAATGACTAAAATTAGTCCACAATATCCAACTTTGCGCCTCATTTTGAACTAAAGACAAAACCATAAAAAAATTTAAAATATTTCACAATATGCACTGACTAACTTGTGAGGCATGGACTTACCCTCTCCAGCTATCTTTGCAACCTTTGAGATCAGGAGCTGTGTCTTTACACAGTAATATTACTGCCACTCCTCCTCCTAACGGACAAGGCAGTCACTTGTTCTTAGTCACAGATGCCACAAAAAGTCAACAGCCAATCAGAGTAAGGCCTTGTTGTGAAAGAATTTTAACAAGTCTAGGCCAAATATTCTCACAGCAGTGTTTACCAGCAAGGTTCCCATATGTTTTTAACCTTATCACTCTCCACAGACATAACATGGTGGACAACACTGATAACAAACATGGGAAGTGAGAGAAACAGGGCAGTGCAAAGAGGAAACTTATTTGAACATTCTGACTGCAATTGTCACTAACTGTACGTTTATCATTTACTGTGAGCAGAATGAATAAGCTAATTCATAATGTTTCATTAAAGGTGCACTGTGTAACATTTCTAGTGGAGGGTCCACCACCTGCTTGTCTCCATGGAAATATTATTGCTTTGTCTATAATGTTCCACAGACCAAACCTACGGGAGGCAATCAGTTTACAGCACTACATTACAAATAGATCTGTGGAAAGTCACCCCTATTCACAAAAGGAATTCATGTATTTTTGAGCAATAGAAACACCTGTAATTAATAAATGCTAGATGTATATATTTAATGTAATACCACTGAGCATTCCAGCCAAAGCAATAACATCTCTATGGAGACAAGTTGATAGCAGACCCTGCACCAGAAAAATTGTGCATTGCATCTTTAATATCCAACAATTCATAAAATACAGTGAATTTTAATGGCAACACTAAAATATTCTAGACTAATAATACAGCCTTCAGGAAAAATGTTTGTCTGTTATTATGTTATTATACCCAGTAAAAGCAGGTGTCATGATTAAGACAGTTACCTCATCTGTCTGTGGTCAGAAAAGTAAAGCATTCATAGTGTATAAGGTCTACTTACTATAATAACATAATACAATATAATACAATATTTGGGCCCATTCATGTGAAGCCTGTTATGAGCTGTTTTAAAGCTGGTAGTGTGTTGTTAAAAATCTCTAAATTTCAACATTTTTGCATCATACCCCAAGGAAAGACCTATACCCTGAAGCACAAACTATGCAACTTTTCAGATGGTACACTACCTGATTGTTGTCTACATAGGAGACCTGTTTTGCCTGCCAAGTTCCATAGTGTGGCTTATCTATCTCCATGGAGACAAGCAGGAGATGCCACTAAAAACAGAACTAAACAGATCTGAACCATTGCTATTATAGGGCTATAGCAGCTACTAACCAAACATAATTAAACCAGGATTAACGAGTCCCACTAGAGAGGCAGATGTGATGTAAAATAGTTACCACTGCTGTGTAAGAGTCTGCATTACTTTATTCAAATAACACAAATCACTATATTGTTACAATACATTTTCAGTGTGGTTCTCATTAAGCTATAGTTATATCTAAGTACTTAAAACACAATAGTTCTACTAAGCTGCCAAATCAAAAGTAACAATATTTGTACATTCACTTGTCAGTGCTTTTTTATGATTATCTACAACATGTTTTCTTTGTTCTTTAAAATCAATAATTTAAATGCATTGACATAATTTTATTGAAACAAGTGCAGGCATACACAATTCAGTGTTTCTTTGCTAACACAGATATATACACAGTGCTATGTGAGCTATTAAAATGTTCCCAACTAGTCCCAAAGTGAGAATAAAAAATAATGACTTTGTATTTAATCTATTGAAACCAGCATTTTGTGTGTGGGTGTGTGTGTGTGTTTCTTTTTTTTATATATTTCTAGTACTAGTATATATGTAAAAAAAAAATTTAATATACTATTCAAATAAACAAATACATTGAACCAGATTGTAATGTTTTGAAATAACTGCAGACGACATTTTGGACAGCAGATGCCCAGATTTTAAAGATTATTTTGGGAGTTCCCGCTGATTGTGATGTCATCAGTACATTAAGGAGCTGATATACATATTACAGTACTTCTTCACTTTGTTGGGAGAAGAACAACATGCTCACAGTGACAGTCTTTTGTGTAACCAGTAAAAGTTGATCTATGAAGCGCTTAAATCTGAGGTCAGTCTCGCGTAGAGTTCACCGTCTTTGTTGTCCGTGAGTTGATAAAATCAGTTTTTCTGAATCCACACTGTTTAAGGAAAACACATCACGCATTACCTACCCATTTCTATGATACAATACATACCTGCTACATGTGTCAAATGTGTGTTATCTAGACATATTATAATCTGACCACATGACGATTGGCCTGTTTTGACATTCTGTTAAATTACTTTTCTCCCAGAGGAAACAGGTTTTGCTACGAGTCAAGGTAAAGCTAAATCTTGGCTTTAAGAAAATGGTGATTGGGCCTGTCACAATAACACATTTTGAAGCATGATATATTGCTACAGAAATATACAGTGATAATAACATTGAAAATAATCTCAGTAATTTTTACACAGAGATTATCATTAAAAAGTATGAGCTGCAAAAAATGATTAGTTGAATGAATTGATAATTAGCCATGTAAATTATTTATTCTACTCTCCACAGCTCAAACTTTATGTTATTACATAAAAATAACTATGAATAAAATCTCACCACGAATATACACAAGATAAATATTGGGCCCCAAAATACATTGTTCCAGCTTTCATATACTGAATGATAAGGTGACACAGGTGACAGGCTTACATATGAATTTATTTATTTTTTCACACTGTATCTAAACTGTAACTTACCTTTTTGTAGAGGCTGTGCAGATCAGTATGCTTCCACATTGAGTGTAATAGAACACACGCCGCCTGGCCAGCTCGACTCGGACCGTAACTAGTAATAAAAAAGCACAAAAAGGCAATATTTTCCATGAGTATGCACACTCCCAATCAATTAGCACTGCAAAATACTTGACAGACATAAAATGCTAAGCTTTGAAAACATGATTCAGTTTTGAAATTTGCGACTGTTGTTCAAGATTATTAACAATATGGCTCCACCACTCAAAAGGTTTGTCACATTAACATCTGAACAGATGATCAGCATGACCACCAAGCAACTCTAGGCCTTTCAGCATTTTTTTTTCAAAACTATAACAGAACGGAACAAATTACTTGCAAATTTGAAACTATGCAAAGACTTCAACAAGTTTAGCGCTGAATTAGGAGCATAATGTTTTAACAACTCAGAAGAGCTAACATTAACTAACAACTAAATTAAACCTGATTAAGGGCACAGAGGGAACAGGGTGACAGTGGGATAGGGATATTTAATGTCATTGTACTTTTTATAACTGTTTGTATATAGATTGCCTTGTTTATGCTATTTTTGTATTCTATGTTTTGTCTGTCTCAGGGACCACAGATGGAAATTAGCTCAGAGCATCTTTTCAATGTTTCTTTGATTAGTGATTATTATTACTTTTTTTCCAGAAATATGTGACTTATAAAATATAAATACAAAATACAACATGTATAGGCCAAATTTTATCCAGAATTAGAAAAAAAACTCTAGTCTGCCAGAGGGTTCTGCAAATTATTGTTTTGTAATAAGGGGCAGTACTGAATGTTGATGAAAAGACAAAACAAAACAATTTTATATGCTGTATATGTGAGAGGTGGAAAAAAACAAATGTACTTGTTATTGAGTATAAATGTAGCCGTGTAATTGTACTTCACAACATTCAAAATCATAGTGTTACTGACTACAAAACAAAGCTTTAATTCAACTCTAAATTGTTTGTTTGATTGATCAAGTTTTGTATAAATCACTTGCTTAAACTTAAAGTAAAATTGTGTTGAAAAGTAACCAGTAACTTAAAGTAGTATTTTTTATGCCTATTTTCTACTTTCACTTTTATGCCTACTTGTAATTGTGTACATTTTTAGACATGTAACTATACCTTTACTTAGTAATATTTTTATGTCTATGTTATACTTTTAATTAGGTACAATACACTGTACCTTGACTTAAGTACACGTTTTCAGTACTCTTTCCACCAGTGAATATGCTAATATTACATAATGTCTCCATACCCATTGTCCTTGCTGCTGATGTTGATGATTTTGGGCAGAGATCCCAGGTTAACCACAGCCTTCACACTGTCCGTCTGGTTCTGACTCAGGTTCAGGAGGATGTGACAGAGGCAGGCGGTCACCTCTGAGGGCTGGTCTGTGCCCCGATCATTATTAGGCAGCATGGACACTATTTCCGGTAAAACATGGGTAACTACAACACAGAGGATGAATTTTAATGGGTAAAAGGATCATATAAAATGGGACACACTCTTAGGCCGAGTTGGAAAGTATCTGAAACCATGTACAGAAAATATATATTCAGAATATTAATTTTGAGTAACTGTATTCCATCACAGTTACTTTTTAATTTCATGGTAGTTAGAAAAATGGAATAGCTGTAGGTACTTGATCACAAAATTTTTGTTCAAATTGCACAGTATTAGTGAGAAAAAATGAAATCATTGCTCTTATAGCATGTGCATGTCTGATTTTTTCATTCTCTAATTAGTGATAGGAATTGCATAACAAGTGGTGAAAAACAAAAGTATTCTGGTAACACTTTATAATAACTACACCTTATTTAGCCTTAATAAAGCATGAACAAAGACTTAATTAATAATGATTCACGCTTAGTAACCACTTAATTACTACGTTAATTAGCACTTAACTTGCACTTACTTCCCCTGTGCTGTAAATAGTAACTCAATTCTTCTTAATTACTCATGAACTAACCATTTGCATGTTTACAAATGCATATTTAAGTACAAATTTGAGCATTTATTAATGATTAGTAAACCATTAGAGAATGATTTACTAATAATGCAATGCAATGATAATTCAGCCAGCTATTATCTGTTAGTTAAGTCTTTCTGAGAGCTTTTCTAAAGTGAAGACTAATAATGTTAAGCATTTGTTAAGGTTGATCAAATTCCAGAGAAACAATAATGCATCATTAGTAAATCATTCTCACATGGCTTGCTAATCATTAATAAATGCTCAAATTTGTACTTAAATATACATTTACAAATGCACACACAAATGGTTAGTTCGTGAGTAATAAAGTAAGAAATACTTATGAGTAACTATTTACAGCACAGACAAATTAAGTTCAAGTTAAGTGCTAATTCAGGTAATAATTAAGTAGTTACTAATCATGAATCCTTATTAATTAAGTTTTTGTTCATGCTTTATTAAGGCTAAATAAGGTGTAGTTATTATAAAGTGTTACCAGTATTCTTCACATCACAGCTCTTAGGACTAACAACATCAACAGTGACTTTTCAGATTGGATGTAATATAGGACTTTTTAAAACATATTTTTTTAATTTTCAGATTATAGACACATTTGCAAAGTAATTCCAAATCAAGAAACCTGGGTCAACACATCCAATAAAAGATTACATACATTACATACAATAAAGTTTTTGTTTTCTTCTTTTAACTTGTGCTTTCAAGGTTGCTACAGCAAATTACATTTGTCTTGTATTCCTCTTGTAATGCCATTTCCAAATCAAACCTCTTTATTATTCTGGCTTGTGTTTTTGCACTTTAAAAAAAACTACGATACCCTGTCAACATGTTATTTCAAAACTTATATATCAAAACTTTTCTTATATTACAAAACTGTTGATCTCACCGATTTCTGGATGCAGTTCTCTGTGTCTGGAAAGGTTTCTTATGAGAGACACAGCAGTCCGCCTCACTTCACTGTCCCCCTCCTCCAGCGGCCTCTTGATGTGCTGTAGACCGTTCTCACGTTGGACAATAGTGAAACAAATGGCTTCAGTCACCTGCAGTGAAAAACAGTCTGTGTGTCAACTGTAAGTGAGTAGCAACAAAAATGTCAGTAAATGTGTTAGAGCACAATCTATTCCATATAATGAATAAACTTTATCTTAGTTTACTAGGGGTGGGACGAGACACAATTTCTTCGAGACACATCACGAGATCTGGTCTACGAGATCAATGACAAGATGAGATTTTGATATAATTTTTGATTAATAAATTGCCTTCACAGTTTTTTATGTATTTTATTCTACATTTTTGCTGTCATTGTAGCTGTGCTTTTTGGAACTACAGAAAAAATCTCATGAGATATTTTTTGTGTATTTTTTGTATGCACAATCTTTTTTTAAAGATCTTGTCCCATTCCTATAGCTTACATTAAAGGTGCACTATGCAACTTTTGCACGAGATGTTCCACATTAGCCCAGTAAACACATTTGTCTTGCATTTTATTGTATTGCAGGTGTTTTATAACTCAAAAATACCTTGTATTGTTTTCTTACCATGTGCATTTTGCTTCTCCAGAGATCTAACCATTAACTTATCTCCACTGTGATTATCAGTTTAAGTCCATATTGTGGAATAATCAAGGCAAAACAGTAGCATCTACATGGAGACAAGCAGGTGAAAGACCTTCTACCAGAAAAGTTACACAATGCACCTTTGAAGTAATACTTTTTAAAAGATAAAAATTTAACAAAAATTTAGTAAACCTTTTCCCCTGACAGGGTCAAATTCTAGAAATGAGGGACAGGCAACTAAATGACTGTCCAGGACAACCAAGAGGGACAGGTGGTCACCCTTGATAGTTTTGTATGTGGGGACAAATGTGAGTTACAGTTCAAATATATAATCTTTATGGGACAAAGTCACACTTCAAATTAAACACTCAAGATCCTTAAAGGGCTTATATTAGGCTATTTTCTGATTTGTTATAATGTACCTGGGGTTTTATTCTGTTTCATTCACAAAAGGTCAGATGTAGAAACAAAAAAACACAACCACTAGATGATATTACAAGGTGGAACAGAGCATTTTGAGGTTTAGAGAAGTAGACAGACTAATAATATAGGATTATTAACATGTGTGAATGAAACAAAACACAACTCTGGGTATGTTTCGGTGAGGTAACAACATATAACATGGCTTAAAGGTCCTATATTTCTCAAATTTACTCTTGTGAGCTTTAACAGTTTGAAAATCTACATAAAAAAGTCTTACAGGCCCGTGCCCAGCTGTGATATTCTGCAGCGCGCCCAGTGCTGCCTCCTGTGTGTGGTGACGCACACTGCGGGCGATGAGTGACAGGTACATGCGCACAGTGATGGAGCTCCACAACCACTCCACACCGCATGGATTAGACTTCTCCTCCAGCAGGGGGCAGTGTCGCACCATCTGCTGAAAGACATGCAGCACACACGTAAGTTCAGAGGGTTCATGTTAGTATCAAAGGAGTATGATGCAGTAGAATGATCTGCTCTGTTATAGATCCTATGTAGCTTTTATCAGATATTTAGGATTTTAAGAGAAAAACTGAGTTGAAAGGGTACGTGCCAGTATCACTTTAAAGGGGCTTACATATACTGATGCTGGTGCAATGCAGTGAGAGCTGAAGTCAAACTGTGAAGGGGCTGTACAATAAATTACATCTAAACAACTCTGACCCATTATAGTAGCAAAGTGCAAGTTAAGCAATGGCCAGTTGGGTATGTGGGTATGGGTGTACAAACTCTGAAGCAGAGCAAGGTCAGGCCTGGTTAGTACTTGGATGGGAGATTAAACTTCTCTGCCTTATATTACTGAATGTTATGATACACTATAGTTTTGTTACAATAGCACTTTTAACCATGCTATTAATAATCATAATGATGTTGGTAGAGCAATGGCGCAGTGCTATATGCGCATACACCTACAATCAAAGAACTGCAAAGGTTTGAAGTTCAGTCTTTCAACCAACCCATGCATCTTATTGTGTCAGAAAAATGACAAATGACTTTAATGTCCAAAAAAAGTGTTAAATAAAGTTATTGCTTTATAACCATTATCTGGCTTAAAAATGTGCTCAGTGATATACAATATAAAGACACTGGAGTTTCAATTGACAAAAATGGAATACATTTTAATATTTTTGAACCACCACAAATATATTCCCTCTTACAAAGGCACCACAGTGGGCTAGACCTCAATACTAGTAGTAGTGTTACCTCTGTGATCTTGGCGCTGCGGTTGGTGAAGCAGCCCACAGGTTTGGTTCTGGGGGCCAGGCTGAGTCTGGACTGGTGCAGCTCCTCAGCATACTTCCGGGGCAGCTCCTCCTCAATCTGATAGGACAGGTTATGAAGGATACACACACAGTTCTCTGTCGTCTAGAGGGAGAGAGGGAAAGAAAGAGAAAGAGACATAGAGTGAAAGAGAAAAAGAGAGGCAGTAAGAGGGAGAAAGAGAGAGGGGGGTGAGGGAGAGAGAGGGAAAGAGAGAGAGGGGGAGAGAGGAGAGAGAGAGAGGGGGAAAGAGCAAGAGAGGGAAAGAGAGAGAGGGGGCGAGAGGCAAACAGGGAGAGAGAGGGGAGGGCAGATTAGATAGGCATCTTAGAGGTCATGTTGATACCATTACAAGATCATGGGAAAACTAAAAACAACCCCCAAGAACATTTTGAATACAACCAAATCTAAACTAGGGCTGAACCTGGTCTAAAATAGGAGTATACAAGTGCTAAAATTCTAACAATTCTTTCAAAGTTTATCTGTATAGCTCCTGTTACAATCATTATACTGAATTATTTGCATTTCTGCTACTACCCCATTTCCATGGGGTAGCAGTAGGAAATACTAACTCACAAAGTGAATGGTTTCATACGTACATAAACATCTCATTATGTTGTGTGGGCAGACTATATGAAGTACCTGTATTATGCATTGATGTATGACGAAGTATGTGCTTGTGACTGTGAAAGTGTGAATGATTTCTTGCTGTAAATCCAATTGAGATAAAGGTTGAAAGTTGCATTAAAATATATGATTTCACCTTGTCATCTGTTTTGTAGTCAGCTATGGCGCCTCTGATGTAGTAGACCAAGGAGTCGATGAGGTTCTCACACTCCCTCATGGCCTTCCTCCCATTCAGTCCAGCTGAGCTCAGATTTCTGAACATACAAAAGACCCAAAACCATAATAGGTTTTATCAATAACAACACTAGGGACAATCATGGCAAATAATGTCACAGAATATCACAGTATTTTGATGTAATCCCTGTTCTCTCTATGGAACAATCCAACACAGCAATTAGCATTGTCCAGTACACTGGGTCTTATTGTGCACTGGTGAGACATGAACTTGGCTAGTACTGAATAGTCACAGATTTGAATGAATTTAACAAATTGCATTGACTGCAGTTATTTAGGTAATATGATGCTCTCTGCAGAGAACAAAATATCATGTCTCCATGGTGTCATATTATGTAATCCTGGCATAATACTAAAATGTCAAACTCAATTTTGATACCAGGGAAAAGCTTGATAATCAATACCAATGTCACTAATACCAAAACGCCTGCTAAATTTTGATGAAGATCAGTCTAAGCTATTCAGGAAAAGGCATGTTTTTTTTTTTTTTTTCAGTATTGAAACCAGTGCTTATCTTTGGTTCCGATCACTATCCATAAGAGCCATCCCAGACTGATATGTAAAACTCTATTGAGAGGGTGAACAATATCAATCTGGCAAGAGCCAGTTTAGTAGTTTAGAGCTCTGCAAACATTATAATGCAGTAACAGTAACATGGGCCCATATGTGGGGCAGATTTTGATTATTTCCCCCAAAGTATATGATTTGAAATTACTACAAACTCAACTCTTGTCCATCTACTGCACTGTTCTACAGTGCGATACACTGGTCTATCTCCCCAGTTTTGACTTATAATTTTCCTGGTTTTGAATGGGATGGAGAACCTCATAAGGAGTGCTCTGTAACACTGAGGTGGATAGGGCTGAGTGACTTTAACCTGCAGAGGCACAGAGAGGAGAGAGAGGGGCATGAATAATTCAGACTCCCACTGTTTTCATATGGATATAGTTGCCCGATGAGCGCAGGCTCTGATAGCTGTGGCTTTGTAAACAGAGGAGATGCATGTCCAAACAGGAGCAGCTTCAACAATGAGAGCCTTAATCTACTCAACGGCACTAGAAGGGCCTGATGAACTGAGATGTCCTACAGCAGAGAGATGCTGTCATGCACTTATATAACTGCCCCAGATCAGTTTTGCAGCTACTTTTGGGGAGCATCAAAAAGAGGAGCTTATGTAATAATTAGCTCCAAGTTATGCTTGATGTTTAGAAGTCTTTCAACAGACTTCCTCTGCATTGTTAGGCCATCGCTTTGCTTTGGGTTGCAGCAGGATGCAGAAGTTATGATATTAGAAATAATGATGGACTGTTATGGTGTAACTAATTAATAATAAGTGACAATGTTTGCTCATTTATCTCTCTTTTTTAATCAATGCACCCACCCATAGATATTATAGTGTTGATTTGTTTTTGGGCAAGAAAACACCTGCTAAAAATGTCTGTGATGTGTGAGTAAGTGTCAGACTAACACATTCTTTTTATTACTGTGACTTTTAAACACTTCAAATAGCTCTCCAAATATACTTCAGTAGTTATTGATTATGAGGGGAGAAAAAAACGTGTAACAGTCTTCATAGTACAATTGTGTTTATTGATTTTGATGTGTTGGTAAAATATTAAAGGGGTAACTGGTGGTTATTCTTTAAAGGTGGATTATTTAATGTTTCTGGTGGAGAGTTCACTACCTACTTGTCCTCATGGAGGACATAGGTTGGCAGTTTGAATCCCGCTCTTGACCTGAACATCACTTTTTGACAGGTCAGATCCTGCTCCCACAGATGTATGCTGTCATTGTGTCCTTGGGAACGACACTTAAACCACCTTGTCCCTAGTGTCGGTAAATGTCTGACCTTAAGCAGCCCGTGGCATTGTGGAACACATCCTCGTCAGCAAGCATCTCGTCTTTAGGGTTCTCTCCCTCAGACAGGCCGGAGCTTGGTACCAGGACGGACTGGGTCAGCACCGGGAGGGACTCCACAGACAGGTGCTCTTTCAGAAGGTCATGAGAGGACAGGTTCCACAGCAGACCTAAAATCACACAAAGTTGATATAGTAATTATGGTGACAAGCAATACATACAAACATACAAATGTTTCTGTGCTGTTTGATTAGAGCCTTTTGCATTTTATATGGAGGTTACCACATGTTAAGCCCATTGTAAGTAAATGATACTGAATGAATGATAGCAATGAATGTAATTTCAATACTAATATATAAAAGTAAACTGTATATTTAAAACAAGATTACAAAAGTACAAAGACTTTGCCTGTAAAAGTTGTATCTTTTGATTTGCATATAAAAAAAAGGATCAATGCAGTATCCTAAAGGTTCCGCAGTAGAAGGAAGCTTTTTCAAACTGGGCTGATGAATTAAATTTAACAAGTCTCATCTGGTTAAGTTTAAACAAGGTCTTTTGGTGTTACAGAAACAAGAATAGACAGTATTCATTGTGCAAAGCCCTTGTAGTCACAAGGTCATGGTGTTTCTCAAACTGTGGTCTGAGTACCTCTGGGTAAGATATGCACTAATAGTGCTGTCACAATAATAAAAACTTGATATCAAGGCAAAGACTTGAAATGCAATGCCACTTTCAATATCACAATGATAACTTAAACTCTTTTTTGGTCTTATACTAGTTCTGATGTAGATCGAGATCATTCTAAAACTATTCAGGAAAGGTACGATCTGTTTTGGCTTTTGTCTTGTTTAGGCCTATGCGATTTTTATTAACATGCATTTCTGCTGAATTTAAACCATTTACTCTAATTTTAGCTAATTATTCTCTACCATCTTCTCCAAAGCAGTGTACAAGCCAAACATTATTTAACATGATTCTCAGTGAACAAAACAATGACTCTATGACATGACATCAAAATCCTATGGACTCACCAGTGAGCTGTCTCCTGGTCTCCACATCTCTGCTGCTCTTCAGTGCACAGAGTATCGTGGACAAACCGTTGTTCTCCTTCACTTCCATCTTGTTTTCGTTGCTCTGAAACACCAGATTTCTCAGAGCCCCGGCTGCCACACGCTGCACCTCTTCACTGTCATGACCCAACAGCGCCATGAGCTTCCCAATGCCACGCACATAGTAAACCTGTATAAAATGAGATAAGATTTATGATAGACACTGTGAAGGACATATAAAAGGAGCTAACCTTTTACTTGATTACTAAAATGTTTTCTCACTACCAGGTTGGCTGGCAACACTTACATTTTTGCTAGAAAGTCTGGCCAGTTACGTTTAGTGTCTATATCCATGTAGTACTGTAACTGATAAGAGAAACTCCTGTTACCAAATAAAGCTAAGTGTAAATTCAGCCTCGAAAGCCTGTGCACAGTAATAGTGCAGAGGGTGAAAATAGCACTTATTTCCTTAAAACAAAAATAAAATAAGAAAAAACTGATCCAAATGTGTTATGTAGCAGTTATTTATCTCTGTGGTAGTAACTACAGAGCAACCTTGTATAAATAAAACATCATATATCAGCGCCAATATTCAATACTAGTATCAGATCAGTGCATCGATATTGCTGCGTCCAATAACTGTCCAGTTTACCCCATTTAAACCCACAATCCAGATGGCCCATTCACTTTCCAGTTCATGTCTCACTCTATCTCCTCTCATCGCCCCCTCCTCTCTCTTTGGCCTCATCCTCTACCACCGCCAGGCCCCAGGGGGAAGAGGTCTCCTAAATGTCATCTAATCTGCCTATGTCTATCATCACTGCAATGTCTTCTGATGGGGTCTACGTCCACAAAAAATAAGCATTCAGTATATTTCCTCTAGTTAGACCCTTCATGATAATTATTATATCTATTACTAATATATTACTATATGATAAGTACTATATATGTGTTATTGTGACAAGCCTAGCTCCAGTACTTCTCTTTGTTTCTTTTTATATAGAGCTTTTTAGACACTGACAGTTCATCTATATTACTACTGCGTCTGTCATGATAATACATTTTGAAGCGTGATATATTGCTGAAGAAAATATAGATGAGAAACGATAATATTGAAACTAATTTATGCCGCTGACACAAAAACCCAAGAGTAGATTTAACCACAAAAATTATTCTAAATCTACAATACTGTTAAAAAAAAATTATAAGTCGCAATAAATAAACAGCAAAATGAGACATGTATTTAGTTTGCACCTGTAAAAAGTCATAGAAGTTATTAATTCAGCCTTTTACGTCTTAAATATTATTGTATAGCCAAAAAATTACCACGTGTCGAAAATGTAAAAAAAAGTGTATACTATAAATATGGAACCTGAAAAATATTGTTCCAGCTTTCATATATTGAACGATAAGTCAAAGTAATAATTATTGTGACAGGCCTATTTACTAATATGACAGAGCTGCCCTGGGGCTGTTTGAGAGAGATATGGCTGCCAATCTGTGCCCACAACCTTTCCAACAACCAAAACCTCACTCACAAATCACATTATGTTTAAGCAACAAGGGTAAAAAAACAAACAGAAAACTATAGACCTAAAACAATTACTCTTTCCTGACCTACTTCTTAGTGTGCCAAGGCCAGACTTGTCTTAATCTGCAGACTCACAGTCCGGAAAAACAAGTTTTATACATATTTTCTCACATAAAATTAGTGAATGTGATTTTCAATTTTTTGCAAATACTCAGGGCACAAGATTGAAGTTTCTAAATAAGCAAAGTAATGTAAAAAAGGAAATGAGGTTAAATAGAAAAAGTTGTAATGTGCAATAAATAAATCATACAAATGTTTCTGTACTGTATAATTAGAGCCTTTTGCATTTTATATGGGGGTAAAGTAAGTAGTAACTAACAGTAGTAGTAAATGTACCTTGAATCATAATAGAAATACAATAAATATTTCCCTTGTCAAGCTTAATTTTTATTTTCAGTGCACAAAGACCAAAAAATGAAAATGTAAAATGAAAAATTCTATACAAACTAAAATGAAGGAGCAAGCGAGTGCATCAAGGGATCCAGTAGCAGTATTAAACATTTATAAAAATGTGTAAAAAAAGGTAAGGTACTCATCAATGACTAGACCACAGTAACTTGAAATAATAGAAAATGCATAAACTGGAACAAAATGCAATCAAAACATGTCAGAGGCAGACTTTACATTATAAAATGAAAGCCCTTTGACTGCATTATAGATCATTTTGACTAATATGTTTCAAAAAGCCACTCAAACACAGTTAGACCTGCGTTTGTTCGTCACAGAGGTTTTCTAATTTAAGGCCTAATTGTGTACCTGTGCTGCAGTTTACCCCTGAATATTTGATGAGCTGCTCCTCTCAAAAGCAAAGCCCTTTTGTTGTTTCTCTGTGCGCATTTCCTCTCAGTATACTACACAAAACAGACAAGCCTGATACTAATTTAATCAAAATTAAACCTGAGTGTTCACAACCAGCAAATAGCTTATTTTTTAGTAATAGCAGTAACCTCTTATCATGTACAAAACATCTGTTAACTCTGGAGTAAAGACCTGCACATGTAGTTCATAATTCAATGTTCTCTCAATAGTTGATGCTTCTATTAAAAAATCTGTTTGGGAAATGTGAAAAAAAATTTTGTAATACAGAAATCACAATTTGCCTTTTTTCCCCCACAACTGTACATTTGTATAATTAGGAATAATTTGTCACCAGTCTCTTGCTATTTTTTCTTCTTATTTAGAATTTATTATTACCATTTATACTGTGTCCAAATAAATTCCCTTGTGGATCAGTCAAGTTTGTCTAAGTCTAATTTATTGACTGGACGTACCATCTTCTTGGCGTCCGCGCTCTTGAAGCACTGGTTCTGAATGAAGCTGGCAGCGCACACCAGCGTTTCCTCATTGTCCTGGGACAGTAGAGCCACAGCCCTCTCTATGGTCATCTCCGGAGCCCTGTTCTCTGACTGTCTGTAGAGGAAAATACAAATTCTTTATGCTCAAATTGCAATTAATAGCTTGATATCATAGCATAAAATGTCATGATGTCAATCTGTCAAATTGAAATGATTCAAGATTTTTGAAAGAAATATTTAAACAGAAAATTCATAACGTTCACTCCTAACAATGTTCATTCCTTCATAAAATGAATTCCTAATGTTTTTGGTTAGAAACTACATCCAGGAACTGGATATACCAATCTTGTGGCTAAAGTCCTTTCACCCACTTTCATCTAGAGATGCTTAAATAATACCACTAAATTCTGATCATTTCAATTTTATTTATTTAATGTAGTTAAGGTTATGATATATAGTTAATGTATACTTTACAGATCCCATGTAAGGGAAATTCATCATCTGCATTTGGCCCATCCTTCAACTCAGGGGTGCCCAAAGTTTTTTTCCTCTGTGGGCCAAAACACATGCACATTAGCATGTTGAGGGCCAAATCTAATGCACAAAAATATATATTATGCAAATAAATGAATGATTAAAATGGCTTTAAATATTAGGAAATAGTCAGGATTGTCTGTCTTTTTAATACAAAATTGAATCAAATTAGATTATTCTTACAACGCTCAGTGACTCATCCTCAGTTCTTGAGGTAGGCTTGGTCAGGACTACCTTAGCTGGAGGATTACCTATGGTACATGTTGTTACTTGTGACAGAGAAGGCATTGAACTTTCTGCCAGTTTTGTTTCATAGACTAGTAATTAGAGATATTACTATTACTATTAAATTTGATTTCGATTAGATACTTTTAACTACATTATTGACTGTATTAATACTGTGGTAATTTCTTCCATGGACCAATAATGTTTGTCATCATGAGTCAAGTTATAAATTATACAATCCTATAGTAACTCAGAGATATTACAGAGTCTTATATAACTAATTTCCTTCTTACAGTGCTGTGACATTGCCCGTCCGTATGGTCAGCTCGCCATCTGGTCTGGCTGTATCCACCTCCATACTGGTGGTAGAGGGGGGGTAAGAGTTCAGTCTGCGGAGGGCGTGGGTGCTTCCTCTGACACGGGACAGCCAGGCTGAACCACTCTCAGGGGGTACCGTCCCATTCAGTCCATGCCCTACACTGTGGTGCTCCTGTTTAATGGAAGTCTGTCTCTGGGACCATCTTGAACTGTTGCTCTGCTCCACATTTGGGTAAAAAATTTCATCTTCGAACACTGGTTGAGGTAGAGCAGCTTGTCTGAAGGATCTCTGTCTGTAGCTGGCACTGGATTTCTGTGGTCTCAAGGGTCTTGGTCCATCTGAAAAGGCATAGCGATGATAGAAGTCCGAGGACAGTGATCGATCTAGAGTGATTCGGTTGAGTTGGGCAGGTCCCGGTACAGTATACATGCCCATGCGGTGAATCCCAAATATGACCGGGTGCGGGAGGGCATCAGGGCTCGGGGGTGGTGTCACCTCCACCCTCCTGCATGGTTTGGAGGAGAGGGAGCGGTTACTCAGGCCTAGTCCGTTAACCTGAGGGGCAAATATAAGAGAGGTTTAGCTTAACTGAACTTATTGTTCCCAGATGTGGTGGCAGAATACAGTTTAATAATTTTGTGTATGAATAATATAGTTAAAACAAATGTTACAATGCAATTCTTTAAAGGCCCACAGTGTAACTCCATGAAGTTACAGGTGACGTTACTAAGCCAAGTTACAAGGTCAGATCAGTGGAGAGGCCAGAGTAAGGCACATTTTATCAAATGAAACACCTACAGGGCAAATGTAAATGCAAATAATGTAGGGTTAATGCCATACTGAGGAACATTTCAGAGAAAGCAACAACATCTAACGACTAAAGGCAATATTTTCTATGTGTCTAATGGTTTTATGGGGACCTATTTCACTGAGACAGAGTATTAAAAATAGGTCAGAATTTATTACTGCATGTAAGGTGACTATGTGTGTGTAGTTGCTACCAAGTTGCTACTGAATGATCAGCAATGATACCTTTCTACAGAAATTTACCTATATTCAAAAACAGCCTACAATACACTACCAGTCAAAAGTTTGGACACACCCTCTCATTCAATGTTTGTTTTTCTTTATTTTTACTGCTTTCAACATTTTAGATACAAGCAGAAGACACTGAATATTTTCACACAAATCCATATATATTTGATGCCTTCTGTATATATATATATAAAATGTGGAAAGTAAAAATGACGTCAATGAGATGGTGTATCCAAACTTTTGTAAAACTGACTGTGACAGGACAAAGCAAACAACAAAAGAGAGAACAGAAAATGTTACCTGCATGACTGGTACGTATCCCTCCGAATGATCAAAGCTACTGGTTGTGCTCCTCTGTAAATGGACACTTCCTGGAACAAGGACAAGAGATCATAAAAAATTACACAAATGTGTTACAGTATTAGCACTTTCAGTGTCACTGACTCCAGCACCACCAACAATGCACCCATTAACTTTCACTATAGACCTAATTGTTTTTGAAAGGACAGGTCAAGCTCTCGATGGGGACAATAAAATGTACCTTGAATTGACAAAGGTTTTATGACAGATGCTAGTCCAGTGTAAACAGTTTGCACATCCAGAAGGGGTGAGGGGTTTTACCCTCCTATAAGGCAGCAAAAAGAGTGTTGATGATGTCGTTATCTTTCATTGTAATAAACAGTGTATACACATTGGTGTTTTTACATGGTATAAGCATCTTAAGAAAACATAACTATGTATGTTTGATATAAATATAGGCATATAGAAAAACTTCAAGCAGTTTTTAAAACTACACATTAGCTTGGCCTGTTATTAACGTCTAATTGATGTTATGCTTCAAATGTGCATATAGGTTCATTGAATGATAAAAACTAAACTAACGCTAAACTAATTGCATTACCATTATTAGTAGCTACTAGTAGATCATTATGAATAATCCGCAAACTAATAGTTATCTTTTGGTTAATATGACACATAACACAATTTAATCCATATAGATGTAGACTGATGAACCATAATTGTAGGCCTAATTGTTGTGTCTGCTCCACACGCGCCCTCAGGTGGATAAATGAAACCATGAAACCTGTCAGACCAGAGACCGACGCATTCCTCTCATAGAACCAAGCGGCTAATGTTCACAGAACACAGAACACAGAACACAGAACACAGAACACGGGTCACAGGAAAGCACTGTGCAGCCATTCCACCTGTACGATATTCAGTTTTGAACGCGGCCACAAGGGTCGATTATGAATCGGGTAACCGATAAAAGAAACCTGTTGTCATGAAATAGCCTTAGTCTCTAGTGTCGGTTACTTTCCTAGCTGTGTCGGTCATTGATTGAATGTAAATCAGGTTACCATTTGGCAGCGTCTTCCTGCCCTTCCGCGCCAGCGTGAGCTGAACCTGCTGGTGTACGCGCAGGCTCCGGTCGTTTGAATTAACTTTTCCTCCGGGTTTTGAGGTCGTGTCGCTCGGCAAAGCAAGACTCGTGTCGTCCACCACAAACGGGTCCTGGCTCATTAACGCGGACTTTAAAAAACCCTCGTCCATTATATGGAAAGTCCACTGTTCCCGGGTATCTCCAAATGTTTCGCGTTTTTCAAAATAAGCCTTGTTTCTTGGCTGAACTTAGCCCGGCTTTGTTGTGAGCGCTGACAGTGAGAACGGGGCGGGGCCAAGAGGCGCACCTGGTGTCAGGTGTCCCCCCTGGGTGTAGGCTGTCGTCCAATTCTCCTCTCCTGTGCTGCGAGGAGTGTTTGGGGTTTATAAAGGTAATGTTATTTGTTTAATGTGTAATAATACACTACTCTACTGGGTGCATGAAAATGACATGTGCACAGGCTTATGCTTAGTCCTACGCACCTTTACAATTAGACTGTTTGTTTTTGTATTGATTCGTCTATTTTTCTTTCTTTCTTTCTTTTTTTTTCTTCTATTTTTCTTATCCATGTAGTCTCCCTACTCACCTTGTCAGATTTGCCAGATTAAACTGTACAATAGCTATAGTCTGTTGGGTTGGTAGTAGTAGTAGTTAGTAGTCATTTGAAATATTGTCCTATTCACATACACATTTTAAAATGCGCTCCTACCCACCTTATATTTCCTAATCTTATAAATACTTTCATGATGATGATCCGGACGAAGACTAATCCTATACTTTCCCTGTGAGCCTAAAAGACAAAACCACAGAAACAGGGCAGCTCCAGGTATCATGACTCACCTGGCTCTCCTCACAGCAAACCCTTATAGATTTGCAATAATGAGAATACACCATCTCAAATGACTTTTGAGTGTAACTTGATTTTAGTTTGTGAGTTTGTGACAAAAACAACATAAAAGTAATGGACTAGATTTATATGGTCTTTGTTGTTTTTTATTATAGTGCATGGGCATACACACATTACACACACAAAATTATCAATGGAATAAGCTACAATTGTCATTGTAATTTCTAGTGATACACTCCGTTTGAAATAAGAGAAAGAAAATCCTGTTCCACAATTAGGCTATACCTTAAGCAATAGCAAAAAATATTGAGGCTATCAGTTAGAAATAATCACTTAATCACGGTTTAACTAATCTAAACTAACCCAGAATACTTATGAATGACATTGACTAGTTGTTGTAACCTGCACTGTATGTTACTAATACATTGTTATTAATGTACTTACAGGATTCATGACTTGCCTCTTCTATGGCCTGTGTGAGCAAAGCAACAATTCTACTCAACCAAAAGTAGGTCTATATTTGGCTCAAGGTCTGAACTGTGGAACTTGTCAAACTCGTAAACTTTGCTTCTTTCCCCAACAAGGTGACACATAGCAGCTTCTCATGCAAGCGACCATTTTGAGTTATGGGTGAGTAAATACACAATATTTTATAGAGGACCATACTTCAGTTTATAGGCTTTAGTTGAAGGTGGGAATGTGGGGGTTCAAAGATGTTCGTTTGAATACAGTAAATGTAAAATTGTTTTATTGTTAATTATCACTGAGAGATAAAATATATATATAATTGCAGGAATTTCAGAAGTAGCAATATCTGTTAAATAGTCTGTAATAAAATTCATAATGTAGAAAATCCCTTTTTTAGACCATTAAGCTGTGTGAATTAAAGTTTTGTAAGTAGGCTATCTGATTATAATAAGTAGTAATTTACTTATGTATAATAATAATGTCAGCAAACCACAGATGCCCTGAGGAAAAATAACAAAAGATGTGGCTGCCAATTTGTGCTAACACCCATACAACATTCAAACATGAGGTGTGTCTTGCTCAAGGACACAGCAGTGGTCGCTGCTCAGATCAGGGTTTGAACCACCAACCTGGTTATAAGAGGGTCTGACACTGGGCCACAATCAGCAACCTAAAAACAAAACTATATAATTGGAACTTGAAAATATGTTATTGTACATGGCATCATTTTTTGAAAGATATTAAGTTTATCTCATCTCCTGAACCAGGAGTGTGCAGTCTCTGTAATTTGACCCAGAGTCTGGAGACAAAAATGTCACCTAGAAACGGTGTAGAGTTGCAGGTGATAATCCCATAGTGCAGCTGACTGTAAGGGGAGCAGAAATAACACGTTTTACCCAGGGCCATAGAACAGGTTTTCATTCAAGTCACAGTTATTATGACTTTTAAAGCTAGTAGCTACAGGTAAATACAGTATTGGGGAAAGAAAATGTATGTAGTAAATCAAAAGGTGAAAGTAGTAAAAAAAATGCGCATGAATGTGCAAGAATATGATGTGTGATTTACTTCATTAACTAGAAGTCACGAGTGCATGTGACTGTTTCCTCGTTTTATTCATCATGATCTGTGTACGTGAATTTAGCCTTTAAAATAAGCAAATATAGAAGTTGTTTAAAGATGCCACCTGCTTGTGTCCATGCAGATTCTATTGCTTTGTCTTGAATGTTTCACAGTATGGCATTAAACGTATCAATCTCCATGAGACATGCAGCCAGGTCACATCTATGGAGAGATGACCCTGATGACCCTTTTGAACAATAAAAACATGTTAAACTGAATAGAATAAATAGATACATTAAATGCCATATTGTGGAACATTTCTGGCAAAGCGAAAGCATTTACATGGAGACAAGCAGGTCGCGGACCCTCCACCAGAAAACGTACATAGTCCACCTTTAGCTAATATGACACTATGGCACACTTTTAGTTAACCAATAGTATGTGAAGATCGGTTATGCTTTTATGTATGCAGTTGCTTTATGTTGTGTGTGACACACAAAACAAATATGTATTAGAAGTATTTTTAATGAATCTTTTTTCATAAAAACAATTGTTTCCAGTTCAGGTATCCAAACCACTTTCAAAACAATCAAGCAGTTTCTTTTTTTTCACCAAATTTGAGACAAAATTGGCTTGAGATGTTACACCACGTTCAGAAAACATTCAAAACTGTCCAACAATCCTTTGGGCACATTAATTTTTAAGTTATTTTCTGGCGTCTTGCTTTTCAAATATTTTTTTCATTACAGCATATTTCACAGCTACAAAAGGTAGACAAAAGTTATTTTTTCTGCAGATACTGAGTTAGATATAAAAGGACCTAATTTCTACATATTTCAACAATACTTCACCAATGATTATTAACTATTTGCAAAGAGATATCATGTAAAGCAAGTCTAAACATGTTAATTAGTTTCAACTTGTCTCACACTTTTGGCACATTTATATTCAGATGCACGAAGGCCTGGTGTTATTTTAGTAATACAAAATATGTGACCATATTATTGTGTTTATTTTACCCCTATAAGTCAAAAATATGTATCTTTTGGTGTATGGTCCAATTTTACTATAACTACAACATTGTTTATATGTACACCTTTTTCTTCATTAATAGGTGCATTGTGTAACCTTTCTGGTGGAGGGTCTGCTACCTGCTCATCTCCATGGAGATATTTTGCCTTGCTTCTCCCAAAGTATGAAAATAAACTTTGTAATCACAATGGAGACAGGTTAATAGTCAGATCTATGGAGAAGCAAGCCTGCACATGGTACAAATTCATGTTTAAGGTATTTTTGAGCTATAAAACATCTGTTATTGTGTGAGGGAGATATGTTTAATGTCCTACTGTGGAACATTTCAGGCAAATAAATAACATCTCCACGGACACAACCAAGTAGCAAACCCTCGACCTTAGAAGTTACACAGTGCACCTTTAAGCCAACCAACTATCTTTAATCCATCATTTAAACCAGAAATATAACACATTGTCTATAGTCAATCTTAAATACTTAGCAAACCAGCCTTCAAAGCTTAAACTTGTGGCACATAGTTTCAAACAAAAATCCTGTACATATCTTGCGATAGTTTGTGTAATTTTTACATTGTTTAAAAAATTATAAAATATTTTCATACATTTGTACATGTTCATTCAAGGTTAAAAACACAATTCACTGTCTTCTAAAACTATATACAATTTTATTCTTTACTTCTCACCATTCAGCTGTTAACAGAGGAGCAAATAAGTGATTTCAGCCGTAACTCAAACTCAAATGTATAGATTCTTTTTAGGGTGAAAAAAAAGTGTTACTCAGCAGCATGGAGGTAAAGGAAAAATATGGGGAAAGAAATATTTAATCAAAATGTAGACGTTTTAATTGTATATTCTTCGTCTTCAGCATTCCTTGAGTCTTATAGTTTAAAACTGAAGTCTTCTTTGTCAACTTTATGTAAATACTGAGCATTAGGATGCTATAGCTCCACTTCAGTCAATGAAGTTCTCAATTTGAGCATTTTTTAAAAAATATATAATTGGTTTAACTTTCATGTTTTCACCTGACATTCCATCATGAGAGTCCAGATTATAAACACAACCCATTTAGACAAATAGAAGTCAAATGGTATATGGTGGAATTTGCACCAGCTTAAAGAAAGCATATTCTAAATACGGCACACTGTAATTTGCACTGTTAAATACACCTTTGACAATATGGGACACTGTGATGAAAGGTATGCACTTGTAAATGGACAACAAGATGGTCGGTATGCCAAGGTTAGTTCACTGTCAATGCCTAAGCTGAATTTTAACCATTACCCAACTATGTCAGACTAGACCAAAACAGCAGCATGACATTTCCAGTTAAAGTTTCTGAGGTAGCCACACAGTCTGACACTGTACCTTTTCCCATATATAAAACAGAAAATTTAATCGGATAAGAAATACATTTTTAAACACACAACATTTTAAGAACATTTTAAACGTCAAAAAGTCATAAATTTGCTGCATGATATGAAATATGGCCATTGGAAATGGAAAATATACTGAAAATGATGGTATGGATGTCTTCTATTCAATGTTTCAAGCTGTGAATGCGGTTAGATCTATTTTTGTCCTGTTTTAGTGTTTGTGTCGTCCCCAATTACAGCTAGTCAAACATTTTTGGTTCTGAACTAATAGCTATATAGTACTAGTTTTAGTTCTACTCTAGTCCTGGTTACCTGGTGAAATCTTAAAACTTTGGGTTATTTCAGTTCATGATGCCAAAAGTGAACCATTACAAAGGTTACTTGTGGTGGAACTTGGTGTAAATAGATTAAGAATAAGTGAAAAAGTTATATAATACTGTACTGTCTTGCCCAATAGACTTTTTCAATTTATGAATAAGACACAAAATATGAACACATTCTTGGGTCAGTACCCTTTTGATGGGAATCTAAGTCATCTCCCCTTAAGCAAAAATAAAATGTTTTTGTCAAATATAACATTCACACAAGTTTTCTGTAAGGCATTCCTTCAAGTTTATCTTGAAATCAGCAGGTTATTCTTCCCAAAACTCCACTTAACAGTACAGATTTGTTCAAAAGTGAAAAAGCATACAGCAAAACCACTTTTTCCTCCCCTCATTCCTGTACACCAGTGGGAGTAATGACTTTGGTCTGTCCCAAAAATATCCTACAAATGAACAAATATCTCATCAGTCTCTTCATGCAGGTGGCTGTACAGGTGGAGGTTTGTGCACGGTCCATTGACAGTTAATCTCCCTTATCACTTTAGTCCTATCTGCGTGAGGAGGTGAGGACACCCCCTGTGGACGCTGTGGTGGTAGCGCTGAAGTGAGGGTAGTTGTCATTTGCCTGGGGGCTGGGCAGAATGGAGTTTCCGTTTGTGGAGGAGCAGTTGAGCTGAAGTCTGCGCAGGTACTCGGCGTGCACTGGTTTGTGGCTCTGCAGGACTTTGATGGCCTCATCCACAGTGAACCACTCCCGCTTACGGCCTGCAGGGGGAGACAGAGGACAAGTTAAGAGCTGAGCAACGTTCATTCCGTCAATGCAATAATTAGGTACAGGGTAGAAAAGTGAAATAACAAATAATGTTTCCTTTTACAATCCTATTTTATATTTAAATTTTATATTTTGCATGAAACTGAATGCTCAAACAGTTTAAATTAACTTAGCAGGATTGTAAACCATCCAATAAACCAAATGTGACCAAACATAGATTAAGACAACATTAGTTACTACACTACTACCATGTAAAGTGTATTCCCAATGACATATGTTTTCCGTTTTTGTGAGCAGCTTGGGCAAGTAAGTCTGTCCATTGTGAATTGGACAAAATTATATCTTTGCTTAGCTCCTGGGTGGGATATGAACAATTTGAGGCATATTTTCTGTAATCACAAAGCATTGTATTCCAATCCCTCTACAATCTTAAATATTGGGTTACAAAAACAGGTATGACCAGGAATAATTCAAGGGTTTACCAGTCCTGTAGCAGAATGAGGACTGAAACTAGACCAAGCCAAGTGTAAACTAGGTCTGAAAGAGGTTTAGCCCCACATAGCAACCAAATGCTAAACTAGTTTTCCTTACAGACTACTGATGGACCACCACAAGAAGCCTGCATACCAGAATGACAGCACTGGAGCAAGTAGGTTTTTAAGAGTAGTTATATAGACATTTACAAGATATAGAGCTATGTGCATAAACAAATGATACAGCTTTCCACTCCAATAAAGAGGGGGCTCCAGACAGATTTGCCTGGATACCGGAGTCTAGCACTGACAGCTTTAATAAACTACTGCTCTGAAGTGGGGAGACTGCGGCTGCAAGATCTCTGGCCCAGATTTATGTTAGGCTGTTCACACTACATAGCTCTCTGTATATACACTCTCTATATGCACAGCTACTGGGTCGTATACAGGAATAGAAGGATGTGGTACACTGAAAAAGGTGACCCAAGGAAACAATGCAAAGAGAAGGTATAGCTGGAACAAACATGGCTGGGTGAGGGGATGGCGTACCTATGTTGACACTGTCCTCCCAGGCCTCTAGTGTCTCTGTGACAGTCAACACGTACACATATGTTCTGTGTTTACGATCCTGGTTTTGCTGTAGGGTCAAACAAGTAAAAATATAAGCTTTTTTTTCATTATTAGCAAGTTTTAATAGTAACAATTTGCTCAAACGCTTGACTCACCTCAAATACACCAAGCAAACGCCCCAGTTTTCCCCTTACACCAGCCTGAAACAGAAAATATATTTATATGTTTATTTTTTATGTCAAGAATTAAAAAGAAAGGGTCAGTAATTTCACTTAATTTCAAATAATGTTTGAAAGTCATCATCATAAATAATGGTGAAAGGCAATGTTAGCACCAACATCTCAACTGACTCCCATCGGACACTATTGCATTTCAAAGTAAATGGACATAATGTTTAGTTATGAAAATGTTGGCATGACTCGCTGGGCACATGGTTTTGATACAGCTCTTTCATAACTTCATGAGAGTTAAATTACCGCCAAGACATATGACATTTGTCCTATCACTTTCCATGTCGCCTCAGCATACTTCACAGGTGTCAGTCGCCCTGATGTGAAGCCAAGTTTAGCCCTGTGACGTACCCCAGAACACAGGGTCCTGGGGCAGAAGGAGGAGGAGGGAGGGGGGCGTGAATACCAGCACTCTCTCCCCCTCTCACTCCCACCTCTGCTGAAAGTGCCCATGTGCCCTTTAAACATCTCACCTCAGGGGGCGCATGCTGTTAGCGGGGTAAAAACCACGCAGAGAGCTCATGTTAGAAGCGTGTTAAACTGCACTAGATAAACTGGACCACAGGAGGCTGCAAAGTGCAACTCCAAGCATGTTTGGACAATGCCTGGTGTACTTTAGTATTTTGTACTTTTTGGTATTTTGTACTTTCTGGTATTTTTATTTAATGCATGTAGAAATGAATAAAGTATATATTTTAACGCTACATTGAGAAATTGTCACTCCTCTCTTTGTAACTGCTGCTGTGAGCCTTGTCACTTTGGTCTTAAAATGTACATTAACCTGCCCTACATGGTCCTTATGTTTTTATTTCACCATTTTGTCCATAAATAAATAAAAATTCCTAATATGGAGCTTGACTCCAAATTCACCCTATAACCGCTAGCCTCATGAGCTTCATTTGACTGGAGCCAAACACTATGGGTGATGTCACACTTCCATAATTCATTTCTTTATGCAGTCTATGGTTGTGGCAACTAATTAGGTTTGGCCATAATGAACAAATCTCTTCTTGCTGTAATAAATGTGCTAAGGAAATGAGGAGGTCAAGGGTCAATGATCAGCCGGTCAAATTAACCACATGTTTAACCACACAAAGCCAGAGTCACAAGTTTCTTTTGTTTCTTGTTTCTTAATCAGCTTTTTTGGTAGCATTTTAAGACCGTATGCTTGGGATTCAGTTTTAAACACATTTAAAGCAAGATCTGAAAAATACATCTCAAAAATAGTGTAATTTCTTTTAGTCTATGTACTGAAATAATGGCACTATGGAAACTGTAGCTTTGGATAAAAAGAATATATGAATACGAAGTCTGCATTACGTTATTAGTTTAGTTTAATGGCCAAATAAACTAAGTTGTTACACAAGAAGATGGAAACCGTAGTCAAAGGTCAAATATCATCAGCACTAACCCAGCCGTGGTGTCATGGAGGGACCTGAAGGCATCTCACACTATTAACACTGTCCATTTTACATAAGAGACGGTGCATGTCCAGTAAGTGTTTGCTATAATGATTTTAGTGGCATACTTAAAATAGCTCTGGTACATTCATGAAATGTTATGGTGAAGCCCTGACCACAAGCATTTGAGAGATGTTCTTGTAAAACAGTGAAAGGAAATGGCATGCAATGTTATCAGTAATAATAATAAATGTGGTAAAGAAGTGGATTTCACACTAGTAAGTTTCCATAGTCGTGTGTGTTTTGTGTAAACTTTTGGGTACTGCAGTCAGATTTCAATTGAGACAAAAGAGATAAAATTGTATTACACTCAACTCCTTTAAGAAATATCAGGTATTGTTGTTTGATACGGTCATCATGCAATCAAGCTGTACAACAAAACTGCACAGATCAAATGGAAAGTAGGATGTGAGCTGATGTGACTATGGTGCACCTGACCCACATGTGTTTGAGGGAAGGGGAAACCGGAGAACCCAGAGGAAACCCATGGAGGAAGCTGTCCAAGTGAAGTATATTTTTTCTAAGATAAAATAAAAGCAGGAGCAAGCAACTGACAATAGCTCCAAATCCAACAGTATCAAAGTCGAATGTGTATCTATATGTCCCATTTATCAGGTTTGACATACCACTGAGTCAGGAGTGCCCATATTGCTTTATCTCTTTGTTGCATGTTCATATTGTCCAATTGAAAACGTTTCATTTGAATCACAAAAAACATTCTTCAGATTACAGTGTTGAAAATTTGGGAGCGTGTTCAATTTCCAGGGAGTTAATCACAGTTAATCTGACGTTCTTCACCTCCTCAAACACTTCTCTGACAGCGGCTCCACACGGCTCCTCCTCGGGCTCCATCCCTCCCCCGGGGACGATCCACTGGTCTGGGTGCCGACTACTGCTCACCAGTAATACCTGCGAGACACAACAAAAACATGATCAAGATTGGGCTGATTTTATTGCCCCAGTTTGGAAATGAGTCCTCTGCATTTAACCCATGCTTTAATGCTGCTGAGGCAACCTGACAGTAGGCAGGGCAGGCTTGGTCGCTCCAGATCTTGAGCTAAGCTTGGTCAGGACTGCTTTGCTGGAGGATTTTATCTATTTACTTATTATCTGGAAATTTACTGGATTAATATTTGGGCATAAATTGAAAATTAAGTATCTGACAAGCAACATCTACAAACATTTAGTCCCTACAAGGATTTTCTGAAATACAGGTTATTCTTGCATTAAATCATATTTCTGTCTCTTTAAATGTTACAGCACCAGGTTACGTTCAAAATGTGCATCGTGAATTACATCTTGATATATCTTGAATATAAAAGCAAATCCAGTTTTAACATTACAACGAGATTTTGTTTATCAGATTTAAATCATCTGTTCATGTTTTGTTTGACCTCAGAAATCTAAATTCAAAGATGGTAACTGATCTAATCTTTTAATGATTCATTGTTTGTATTTTCTTTAACACCAACTAATCGTTACACAGCTAAACAAATCTTGTAAATCCCACCAGACTCAAATTCAGTCTCTGCTTAGAGACATACGGGGCTTGAATTACCCTTGTGTAGCAGTGTACTCAGATGCACAGATCACATGCTCCTGTGTGGGCACTTTTCTGGACGTATCCTCATGGCCTACACAACAAACCGCAAGAGCATCACATCTGCTAAAAACATTTTCACATTCCCTCACCCAAGCATCATCGGGCTGACAGTTCATTACAAGTGTCTTAATAAAGTCCGCAGCCAATACAGCAGAACTGTAATAAGAAATGAGTCAAGTGTTGTTGGTCTGTGAATGTAGCCAGCCTGCACACTTTGATGGCATCATGGATGACCTAATTCACACAGACATATTCAGGTTAAGAGCAAAGTACCATCAACAAAAGGGTTTTATAATGGTATAAGGAAAGTAGGGAAGATTCAGACGTCATGCTGATTCCCAATGCTAGTGTTGTCACGATATACTAAAATTTTGTCCAAACATGTTTAAGAAACTATTATTTTTGATGGCAATTACACACTATTGTCTAAAATATTAACATGTTGTCTTATATTAGTTCTGACATCAATCAATTTAAATAGTATTCAGAAAAGTTCCAACTAGGTCATACTTAGAGGAGATTTATTCAGATGAGTATCTAGTTTCAAAACTGGTATCAGGTATGCATATTTTTGGTTAATGCAGAGTTAATGCATTTCGATAAGGTTAAAAAATAAGAAAAACATCCGCAAGGCAACAGGAAAGAGTTATAATAGTAATAGTAACAGTAACAAATTTATAATGAACCTTCTTTTACAGTTAAACTGATGACATTTAAAACCGAAATGCTGTTGAAACCTGAAGGCAAAATTTATGTACTCTTCTCTAGGGATAAAAAAAGTCTTTAATGCTAATCATAATAATCGTTATTTATATTAAAAACACAAAAACACATTTGAAAATCAAACTAAATAGCATTCACTTCCAATGAAAATTACACTTACTTTTAACGTAAATCAAAAAGTATAATGTGTAAGTTTCTATTGCACAAAATTAAGCTTTTAGTCTTGTTATAATACTGTTACCTGCTCAAAAACATACCTGGAGTTGAGTTAAGTTTCATTCACACATGTTTGAGTATCATGTGGGGTAGTTTTCAGGGGTAGTTAACAGCTAACTTTTACCTTTAGTTCAGTAAAGATGGACATTTCCAGGGCTGAAATCATCCAAATGATTCTAGTGAAGGTGTTTAAAAAAACCCAGTGGAGCACTTCCTGTATTACTACATGACATCACAAAGTGGAAGAGAGTGTTTTCTGTTTGAGAGAAGAAACAACAAAGATATGCAAGGTGTGTGTGTGTTAAACAAGTGTGAATGAAACAAAACACAACTAGGCATGTTTTTGGTGAAGAAACAACTTTATAACATAGATCAGAAAAGCGCAATATGGCCTTTTTGAAATCTGACTGTCTTTTCTTTTCATTTTTCACTAAAATTATATTTTTAAAAAGTGAAACAATGTAAACAAACTGTGCATCTCTGGGTTAAATGTCTAGCACAGCAGATGGCAACTGTCACCTCTGCCTCAACCTCATCCCACAGCGTAATCTGCACAAGTCTGTCAATGTGGACTACTCCTAATCTGGACTCATCTCTCACTTTGCTTCACTGTAATGGGATTGGTGCTGCTGCTGCTACAACACCACGCTTCTGTTAAATGTCTGTTCTTTAAATGTCCTGATGCAAAATGTAAAAATCCAAAACATATTGAACAAATCACAATATTTCTCAATTAAAATGGTTTCTTGGTGCAATTAATGTCTCATTTTCTTACCATATGTGAGTAATAACAAAGTCAATATATAAAAAGAATGGAAAGGTCAGATATTCAGTTATAAAATGTAATTAATTGAAATATTGGTGAGATTTTTTTTCATAAAACAATAGAGAAAAACAAAATATTAGCACAATGCAGACTTATTAGGCAATGTGAATGAAAGTAAATTAGGATTTTACTCACTAGGTCACGGTGTCGATGCTCGCGTTACAAAAACACGTTTCTTCTCACTTCTCTTGACACTAAAATTTGATAGTGTCACATCCATTTAAATTTATACTTTAATTCATTTCCTGATATTATTTTTTAAACGGTGCATCTTCAACTTCAAAGGGAGCGACTGGACTTGCACATGCGTAACCTTTGACCTTTCCCTGCTTCCTCACGTGCCAAACTAAGCCACCTGTTTATTCCCATGTAGGTTAGGATCAACAGGGAGGACTGCTGCAGACGCTACAAATACTTAGACTGGGAACGCTAGCCAATGTAGCCATGACGTTGTCTGCGGAGCTGAAGATAGCGGTAGCACTTTCAAAGGACGACAAACGATTTTTAGGGTCACAACAATTATAGAAAGCACATTTGAATTTCAAAGTTTTAGGACATAGTTAAAAAGCTAAATCACTTCATTCAATGTTAATAAGAAGCATCAGAGGGCTTTTAATGCAATTCTGAATGTCACTGGAGTCAAAGGAACTAAATTGAAAAAAAAAAAGAAAAAGGCAAGCCATTTGAAACACGCCGTAGGCTAGGAGGATGGACTGTGAAAGGTGAAAGGTAAATAATGCATCAGAAATAGATTTGGTAAGGAGCCATAAGTGAATGAAAAGCAGACACAAAAGAAAGCTGGATATATGAAAGGTTAATGAATGGGCTCACCGGTGCAGTAACAGCGGGTAAAACAATTCAGGTCACATGGGTTACACATATCTACAAAACTCAATGGCAAAGATTGGTGATGCATATATATTTGACAAATTTCAACTAAAACCTAAAAATAAATCATGTTAGTTTGTTAACCTTTCAAAATGGCAAGCTGTTGATGCTTTAACATGCATCTGACTTAACGGTGTTACTGTTATTAAAGGTGCATTGTGTAACTTTTCTGGTGGAGGGTCCGTCACCTGCTTGTTTCTGTGGATATGTCATTGCTCCACCTGGAATACTCCACATTAGGACATTAAACAGCTCTACCTCACTCATTCATCTGTGAGCGGGGCTGTCTCTTCATAGATCTGACCTGTAACTTAGTATGGGATTAAACTTTTCTGTCTTTATAGGGACCAAACCAGACCGTGAGTTACAAAATGCAGTTTTAATGTAGGTTTGTGCCAAAAGAAATGACTGCTCAAGGCCAATTTGTTATAACACAAATATCTAACAAAAGATTACCCATTCTGTATTCGTCACGTCTCCAGTCCTCACTCCTTTGTGGGTGTGGGTGATTCACTGATAGTACGTCATATTCACTTTATCTGTCACTGCTTGTACTGCTGCTACTTCATACTGCACAGTTTGAATAACAATGTAGTAATGTTTTCAGCAGAGTAGTTGGGCATAAAGGCTCATCTTAACAAGGGCGTTCAGTGACTGATGTTTACAACACAAAACTGAGGGCAAAGTTCATTTCACATTTGGATCATTAGGTTTTTGACCTTAGATAAACTTTCCTCTTCAAAATTAGTAACTATAGCAACAGGGTCTCTTGATTAATTATGGAATGTTGAGTTCACAACACACTTCTAAATTTAACAATGAGCAGCTCCCTGCATGATACAATTTTGGCAACGCCACATCAGCACCATCTAAAATCAACTACAATTATACTAAACCTTTGATGTTACATTACTTGGTTAATCAATAATAATTCAAAGTTTGATTTCATAAAACTTGTCACATAACAGCATTTCCGTTATTTTTTTATTTTTTATTTTTTGGCCAGAGCGTCAATCAAGTATCATCGTAAAATTGAGAAGCTGCTTCTCATCATAATTGTAACATTGAAGCTGGATATTGTGGCATTTATAATCTTGAACTAAGAGTAAACTTTACAATGGGCTAAAACTCTGATTCTGATCAAACGTGGCAAGAGAGAGAGATGGGCACAGATTTAGAAATGTACCTTACGTTTAGTTAAACTAATAATAATAGAATAAACATAAAATCTGGACCAAGAATAAATCTGAATTTAACCAGGTATAAAACACAGATAATCCTGGGACAGGAAATTACTACATAAAGAATATGGGGTCTAGAACTTCATAATTTAAATGTTATGAATTTCCCCTTTTACAGAAACTTAAAATTCTCTCAGGATGGTCAGATGACAGATTTACTTCTGGACTGGAAAAAACTGCTTATATTTGGAACGTGGTGCAAGGTGAAGAGGGAGGAAACCTCAGAGGCAAAACAGTTGGTGAAATCTGACTGTTTTGCAATTCAACCCAAGCCCCACTGGGAATGAGGCATTGGTCAAATCAAAGGCCATATACTGCAAATCTAGTCAGGACACTTCAAAAATGTAGACATTTGTTTGCTTTTCGGCCACTCTTAAGCTAACAAAAGCAAAAAACACCACAAGAAGCTTCTTAAGCTATAGTTATGGAAAAGCTACTGGGTTTGCGATATTTAGTGACAGAGACTTGTGGTGAAATGGAGATGCAGGGCTGTATTTAGCTGTAAAACTTGTGGAGTGACAGTTGAGACATGGGACAGAAATATGCCAAGACATAAACACCTCGTATTTCTGAAGGAGAGTGCTTTTTTAAAATCGTCCGCAGTAAAAACAAAATAACTCGCAACTAACAGTTTAAAGTACGACAAGTACAGCAGGGCACAGGGCTGAAATATACCAAAATTTTACTATAAGGTATATTATTTATAATAAAATAATGCTACAAAAAAAAATCTGTGTAATGTTAAAAATGAATCAGTCCTGTGTGTATTATAATCAAGAGTATAAAGTGATATTTCTACACTTTTGTGATTTTAGAGTTCGCTAGGTGTGTAACGGTACACAAAAATCACGGTTCGGTTCATTTTCGGTACAATATAGGAACAGAATACAAAACCAGTTGTTTATTTGTGTGTTTATTAAACCAAAAATTTGTTTTAACATTATATAAATGGGAAATTTAAATAAATGCAAAGTGCTGCTTGGTGATACTAATAAGTTAAATAAAATATTCTCATATAAGCAACAAATGTTTGAAATATTATAAAAAATTAATTCCTTGTAAACAGTAAACAAAACTTTTCCAAAAGTAAAGCACAGCACTAATAGTTCCAGGAAGAACTTTTACTCAATCTTCAAATTTTTGGCCAGAAAAAACAACTTGTCCACACTGTCTGCAGTAATTGCAGATCTGGTGGCAGTGTCAATGTCCCCAGTGGCTGAAAATACCCTTTCGCTAGAGACAGGGGTAGGGGTGCGATTCCGTTCCAGCGAAAGGCGGAAGTGAGGACCGCAGCGCGATAGTCGTAGTTTTGCGAGCATTCACGTGGTTTGGAGGGACATAGTCGAGGGAGGCGGCTGCCCTAACTATAAAGCACTGTGGAGAACTCTGCCAAATCACGGACGAGTTCCCTTGTAAATATTATAGAGCCGATGTTATATTAAAGATGCACATGTAGTGGCAGAATGTAAACACACACTCGTGCACAGCCGAGCACCAAACTGAACGTCCCGTACCGAAACAGTTCGACACAAATACATGTATCATTACACGCCTAGTTCTCACACATTTGTTTTTTAACAGCTTGGGGTACACAATAAAAAAAACAGAGAGAATATTGTCTAATCCCAATATAAACAAATTTTTTAAAATAGATTTGTTATCTGTATTGTCAAATAAAAGAATGTGATTTTAACATTGTCACAGCTGCTCCTCGGACTAATAAAAACATCACATGAGTCATGCAGCATTACGTTAATAGAGAAAGAACAGTTTGGTTCACAAGCACTGGATTGTTGTTTCCATTTCTCTAAATAAAGTCATTAGCAAATTTCTTTTTTGTCTTTCAGACATGGTCAAATCAAAATTACAACTGAAAGTACCAAAGAGAAAGTGACAAAAGTAATAGTCTTATGATGGTCTTATGATATAAAACACTACAAAATGTTGTAACTTTGGTATTGGTTTAGGTAAATATTCCAGTGTTCTATCAATAGTGCTGCTGGAAGTGCTGATTTCAGTGTATTTGCAAAACTAATATTTGCCATAAGATTGTCCATATGTTAGTTTCTTTTTTTTCTTTTTCTATAATATAAATTTTTCAGCTTCCCTCTACTTGAGTCATTGCTTAGTCCCCATACATGGACTGTTGTGGGGAGTTTAGTTGCACAGAATCACATCCAGAAGGTTCAGCTTTCTCCAAAACAAAACCGTGAGTGAAGAGATCTGCTTACAACAACTCTCTCTTATGTGATCAAATGTCCCCAAGCACAGGCCTAAGCCATACATACAGTTGAACTAGGCTACCCGCTGGTACAAGAGAAGACATAGGTGATTTATTGTTGTTAACAGGACAATATTAATAACTGGAGGTGTTTTTTTTTTGTTTTTTTTTATCAAATAAGGTATTCCCTTCAGTGATGCAACAATATCCAAATCTCTCAGCATGACATGTTCAGATATATGGTGAATACTCTATTTTTACCCATTAAAAGACATTGGTTCTGTCATAATCCAAAGAACTAAGAATTAAAAGTGCTTAATAGAGGTTATTTCTTCATGTAGCCTCCACTGAAGCAAAGCACAGGATCATGACCTATGTAGTTCTATGTTTTTTTTAGCTATTGCTGCACCATAACAATTAATTTTACTTAAAGATGGCTTAAGAATTCTTAACAAATTATTTGAATATGATTTCACAGACAGACATGTCAGCCCTTGTCAAGAGGTCTACAATTCAAAGAGCCAAACCACAAACGTGTGTTGTCATAATATTCATGCCAGTGGATGCATCTCAAAACAATACAATTGGTTCTAGGAAGTGCAGAGAGTGATTGGTTAAAGGGAAAATTCATCATCGTAGTCAGAAAAGCTTCTCTGAGAAATATTAAATTGAAATTAATCTTTACATAATATGTCCAAACAGGTAAATATAGGAGTGACTTTCCAACTTTCAACTGTATCAAACATCTCACTATATTGTTTTGTTTGGTCTTAAAATACATTTGATTGTTGAGCATACAGAGCAGACATAACTACACTGACCACAATGCTTTGCTTTCAGACTAACCAATTTAAAACAAATCAACAGACAAAAGAAACTTGCACTAACTTGTTTATGTTAAACTTTGAAACTGTGACAAATCTTGCATTTTTGTTAAGAAAAAGTATATTATTAAAGATATAACATATATTTTGTATTCAGTATTAGATAATAATGTAAAATGAATGAAAAAAAAACATGCCAAACTGTAAAACATGCCAGAAGATGCTGGGAATGGTGAAGCTGTGAGTTGTATGTTTGAAAAAAAAAAAAACAATTACTGTAAAACAAGGGAAGATATCACTAGAACAAAACGAGAAGTTGTGGTAGGAAACAGTCAATTTAAAGAAATTAGGAGATTTCCTAATGTAAGTGAATAGTTCAAGCAACAACATAAGAAATAAGAGCGTAAGTAGAGCCATAGATATTGTTAATGACTTATGTTTTGGGGGAAAGTGAGCAGTGCAAGTTACATGGACTAGAGTAACTTTTCAAAACAAGCTGTAATTTAGTTTTAAACACACAATGTTATTCTTACTGTATTTCTTACTTTTTATTTTTATTCTGAAGCAACCATGCATTGTTTTAACAGTTTAAAGTATTTGTCAACAACTTTTCATGATTTAATGTGGGACATAATGTTTGTTTCTATTTTCCTGTGCCCTACTTTAATTTTTTTGTCATGAAATCAGTGGTATATAAACTGTAGAGTCCCAGTATAGTTTCCCAATATATTTAGCTCTCAACTCAATGTATTATTTATGAGCACGGTCCATCACGTCAGATTGCATGTGACAGCAGAAGTACATCTCTGGGCAGCCAAAAATCGCAAAGCTTTTAGGAAACACGCAGCCTCTTTTTAGTGAAGTCTGCCTCAGCACAGCACAATATTGTGTAACCTTTTGGACATTATACAACACAGAAAGTGAAGGATACACATCAAGTCATGCAAGAACGATTTTGCTAAAAATGAATTTGGTGTGATGTAATGGCTGGACAGAGGACATGAGGACAAACTATTCAGAATCCTCGTTTAATTTAATTGGTTTGAAATTAGTAGCTGATAGATTATTATAGCCTATGTACTTGTGTGTTACAGTAGCCAATGGAAATGCACGCAGACAGCACCTAAAAACAGTGCGTCATTAGCTCCATATACACAAATAAACTCTTTATAAAAAGGATGTGCTCTTAGGAAGAAAAATACCCTAAACAAACAGGAGCACACCAAACTGTCTTGTCACCTCAAATCTATTATTTACAATGTCACTGCTCCTTTAAATCATCATCCAGTTCATTTTTGGAGGCAATGGCCACAGTGCTTCTGCGATCACAGATGTTCCGCTGCAAACTCTACGATGCGTCATTCAAAAAAAGAACTGACATTACACATGTTATATGTATTTTTCTTCACACTCAACTGGGGCTAACACTATTAAAAGAAAACGTGCAACACAGTGCCTCGCCCCCTTCTTATTATAAACGAGAGGTATTTCGGGGGGAAATGGAGCGGGGCTGGCTTCAAAATAAGAGCATTGCTAATACGCCATACATGTTTGGTGCGTGCGCTTTTTACGCAGTCACTTTATTTGGAAATTCTCGTTCCCCTACCATTTGTTGATACTTGACAACAGCCTTTTCTCTACATGCACCCCAAACTAGCCCAAACTGGATAGCCCACAGCGCATCAGCACGATCCCCATTCACTCCATTAGACACAAGCGCACTAAAAACATGGTACAATGTGACAACGCAAGTGAAACCCATTCACGTCGATACGATACACGTAAAAGGCAATACCCCACATCACTCCGCACTTAATTCACAAGCTCTATCTTGCTTAAATGACACACGAAAATTTAGGAGGCCATTCAACAATATAGCTACATTGATTGATTAGTTACCTCTTCCTCGCGTTCATTTTTGAAGCACAGACACGCCGCTCGCTTCTTGAACCCCTCTCCGTCGTAGGTCCTAGTCTGGTTCGGTTTTAGCTTCATTGTTGATGCTGTAAAAATGTCTCTTTTTACCCCCTCAAAAAGAACCGGTAAAAACGGAGGAGGAGGGAGATTTCTCAGTTGCAACTCCGCCGCATCGTCGTCGTAGCTGCATCCAAGGCAATAGACTGACTGGATTTCTTGAATTGCAAAAAATTAAATAAAACAAAGAGGCAAATCGCGAGGTCTCTCAAGGATAACCTGCGAGGGATGGGTCCAAGCGACTGCCGCGCGTTCGTCTTCCTCGGTGGGCTGTAAACGCGCGCAGCCGTGCTTAGATGATTTGGCGCATGGCTGGTGGTGGTGCTGAGGTCTGGCTGACTCGGTACAATGAGCAGGCACACTGGAGGTTCACATATGCAGATCACTCCTCTCCGGTAGGGGCCAGCTGATTGGCTGGGATCGTATCTGTGGGAAGGGCTTGTGCCATGTCACAGCAGTAACAATAAACAAACTCAACGTGTGATCTCTATTCAACTTTTTAGTGAACTTCATTTTAGCAAGTCTTTCGGTGAGTTTGGCAGTTTGTAAGCTTAAATTGTAATAATTACATACGCAGCTATATTAGGAAATTGATCTCTAACATCATTAAAAAAAGATTTGTTTTCGGACTATTGATTATTGATTTTTTACTCTATACACTGTGAGCAGGGGTTACTGTAGGCTAACTGGATAGATTTTTTGGTAACTGTCCTTTTTTTCTTTTCTTTTTTCTTTTGTTTTCTTTTAACATATACTTGTACTTTTAACCTGAGGTGGAGTTAGCAATTTGGGGACCTCACTATAATGCACGTTTTATAGGATTATTGTTTAAAAGTAAACTACTCTCATTTAATGCCATATTGAGAGAAAATCAAATTGCTCTGAAGCCTCTGCCAGCCCTCCAGGTTTGGGGGCCCTAGGCAGCTGCCTACTTTTGCCTAATGATAGTGCTGCCTCTGCTTTTAACTGAAGAGGGCTGTAATTCTCTTAATTATCATCATGTAATTGTAATTAGATAGGCCTACATTTAAAATAAGGAGTTACTTCAAAACCCTATCGCCCCAAACCATAGCTGTTCACAGTTGTATGGCCTAATGATTTTCCAAGTACACTATTTGAATTTGTATATTTATTCAGATGTTAAAAATTGGAAGTTCTATTAACTGCTTCTGACTTCTACAGTGAATATATAATGTAAGAAATACCCCCTGAGTGAATGGCTTCCAATCTACAACAACAGCCTCTTTGATCACCACCAATCACTTACTCAAATTCTAGTTTAATGTGACGATGTGACGATGTCATACTCCCAAATGAGAGACAAGGGCCAGATTTCCCTATTGATTACATTGTACTTTGCTATGAAACATCCAAAAGGTAAATTCACAAATGCTGAACCTGGTATTTTCAATTATGGTAGCGACAAAACCATAGAACTCACTGTATTGCAATTTACAATTTTAATTTTAGCTGGCACCCATCTGAATGAATTAATATTGTCCTATAGTATGCTGTGGCCTAATCTGAAACCCAACAATACAGGAAACATGGGCAAAGAGTCTTGCTCAAGGACACACAACAACCATTTGCACTAGCCAGAGCTGGAATTGAACTACTAAACCTTCTGCTAAAATAAACACAGAAAAGACCACTGGTCTGGGTCTTGTTGCCTTGAGCAATTTTTAAGAAGAAAATATTTCAGCAATTTCCTCGCAGTAATGTAAAACAATACTGGACATGCAGTAGACCTATATGCCATTTTGTCTTTATTACTTGTATGAAAATTCCCCCCAGACATACCACTGCAATGAATTTCAGTGTTCATAGTCTGTGTCTGATGGTCGCAGGGAGGTCATGTTTTGGTTGTACACACGGAGTAGCGGTGCCCTGGGTGTGTGTGTGTGTGAATAAGGATAAGATATTTCTACTTGGCCAAACACTGTAAGGTCTGTTATGTCATGTATCTGATGGCACTCCCCTGTATTCTCTAGGAGGAGTTCATAGACTATTCACCTGCATTGTAAATGACTGAGTCGTACTTTAAGACTGAGGTGTAACAATAAGATAACATTGACTAGTGACATCTACAACCTGAATGACAAAAGCACAATACCTGAAAATAGGCTGATAAGTTTTCAGCTGGTCTTATGTAACTCAACCAGTGAATGGTGAAACACAACCCAATATCCTCATTCACTCTAAATGTGTTTATTTCAAGCCTGGTTGAATGGAGAGAGGAGTGTGTGTCTGGAAGGACATCGAGCTTAATTGAGCCACATTCAAAGGAAAACTAGTTTACCACTACTATATCGGTGGTATGATCATCTTATAATAAAAATGTGTTTGATTTAAATAGCGTATAAAGATGCTTACAGTGTTTTATTCATTCACTCCACACTTGGTATCTGAGCCATCTGCCCGTCCCAACACCACCAGCACTTACACACCTCTTTTATAGGCAATGTGTGTGTCTTGCCCAAGGACACAACAACAGTATGCAGCCCCGCTACAGCACCTGGTATTTCCAATGGTTTCTTTTCCAAGTACTAACCAGGCCTGGCCTTACTTAACTTTGGAGATCAAATGAGATTAGGTACTGACAAGAAGGTATGACCACACAGCTTCATGTATGTTCAGTATAATAGAGCAAATGTTTTAGCCCAACTTTGAAGACAGGTCTTGTCCTGTATAGTTTGGTTACATTTAATCTTTATTTAGTCCTGCATTAGGTATGTTAATTGGCAACAGAATATGCATAGTTTCTTTTATTCTGTGTTCTCTGCTCCAGTGTGATTTTAAAAAATGGAAAAGAACCATAAATATTTCTGATTTATCTTTGGCAATTTTACTGTCTTCAAATACACTGTGAACTGAAACTACACAATGTCCCTGTAACCCACATAAAGTTCTTGACCCACAAGATGTGAATGAGTTCCACTGCGGCGCCCTTTAACCCTGTGGAGTAAGAGGAAGTTCCATGTTTGAACATCTCTGATAATAGCAGGACTCTGATCAAAGGCCTGTGGACCATCAAAGTGCCCACAACTGACTGACGCAATCAACTCTCACAACAGGCTATCGTAATCTATAGTAACAGTATTATAATGTGGTCATAATACACACGGTCCCATTGATAGTTTATCTACAAATAAGGGCGTATATTATTAACTAAAGGATAAACTCTGAGAAATGTAATAAGATTATGAGCACATTCACTTTATTCCGGTGGGGTCTGCCACCTTCTTGTTTCTATAGACATATTATTGATTTGTGTGAAGTGTTCCACAGTGGCATTAGCTCTATGCAGACATGTGCCACAAGGGCAAGTTACAGGTCAGATCTGTTGGGAGGCAAGTCTGTTCAAGGTGTGTTTTTCAATGTTTTTTTTTTTATTTATTTTTTTTAACAAAACAGGATGTATAACTCCAGTGTCACACAATGACATATTTAACCTGTGAATATATTTACAATATCTTATCAGGCTTTTCCAAAACACGATGTCTTAGAAAAGTTAGAAACCCATTATATAGATCAGACATAGAAAAAAATATAAGTGAATATAAATTATTGTTCACATCAAGAACAAAAGCTGACTTGTAAAATTTTGATCTACACTGTAAATATTTGTTTCAGTCTTCCTCATATACTTTATTTAGCTACTGGCTGTCAATTCTTTATACAGTTCCTAAATGCAGTAACAAGTGAATCTACTGTCTGTCCATATAATAATCTTATGAGCTCACAGACAGCAGCTGCATGAAGAGGAGAAGGTTCACAAGTTACTAATGTTAGTTACATGGCCTTACTCAAACTAACACAAATAGACTACAGCTAATGTGATTTACATGCTATATACTGGTTTCTGATCAGGCCCTCTAGATGTTTCTCATCGTCAGAGATGATACCAAATCTCTTATTTTATCTGCGGTCACACTGTCTGGTCACCATGTTACTGAAAAGCATAATCTCGTATTAGTCATGCACGGAGAGGTTTGGTTGAAAAACACAAAACAATGAGTCACATTTTTGAATAAATTGTACTGTCTCGGAGTTAATTTTGCAGTTTTCTTTTGTTTGAGAAACATACATTTACTTGAGTAAAGGTTTTGCTCTTCCAGCTGTGAGAAAGTTTACAATTGACAAAAATGTGTGTTGACCATTAAGTTTCACGTTTTTCAGGTATTTGATAAATTACATTATTTTCAAACAATAACCCAAAGATATGCATAAAAACATTTCCATTAAAAAACGTAGACTTCAATTCCAATAATTCTGATTATTTGATTGAACCTGTAGCTATGTCACTTACACCACTCCTTTGACTTGATTTAAATTTTTGAGATGACCTCAAACCATAACTCAGATATGTCTGGCATGTACTCTATTACACTTGAATAGTAGTAGTTTTTTGCCCAACTATATTTTTAGCCTTATTTGAGTAATTTCATGGATCAATACTCCTATTTCAGTAATAACTAACTGGGATATTTGATACCCACATCTGTGGATTAAACAAGAGACAACCCCGATTTAATTTTCCAGCAAATTATGTGTGACGTGATCTTATTGTGAATTCCGTTAGTGCATCTTATCTGTTGTTGTGTCCTTCAGCAAGCCACTTCACCCACATTGTCATCACTTCATGATAGTGGTCATAATGCTCTGTTCCACCTTGTGATTTCATTTCATGTAGTGCAGTTTTCAAGTTAACAGCTACCTTTAACGTTTTATTTAGAGACTCCAGAGTTCATCATCCAAATGATTCTATCAAAGGTGTAAGGAGTTTAAAACACAGTGGAGCACTTCCTGTATTACCGCATGACCTCACAAGGTAGAACAGACTGTTTTTAGTTTGAGAGAAACCCATATTTCTGTGTCAAACATGTGTGAATGAAACAACATTATAGAAAAGATCATGAAATCGCATAATGTGGGCTCTTAAAGCAACAGCAAACAGCAGCATTTTAACTGTTGTTATGATGAATAATATGTATTTTTATATCACCAAGCTTTAGAACACTCTGCCCCCCCACGTCTGAACAGCCCCCACAGTTGAATGTTTTAAGTCTTGTCTTAGAACCCACTTTTATTCTCTGGCTTTTAACTCTATATGAGTTGTGTGGTCCTCTGTGTCTTTAATTTATTTAATTTATTTTACTTATTTACTGCTATTTTATGATTTTTATCTTTTTGCTTTTATTTGATTTTGCTAGTTTTATTGTTTCAGACCTGGTATGACCAAATTTGAGCAATTTACCTTTTTGCTGTTTTCATTTTATGATCTCTGTGCAGCACTCTGGAAACTGCTTTGTTTGTAAAATGTGCTATAT